TCGTGTAAGAGCAAAGAGGAGCAGCTGAAAAAAAAAGGAAAAGAAATGGAAAAAATCACAAGAAAACACACGGAGAAAGAGAGAGCAGGACGCTCCTCAGCAGAGACATCAAAAAGCGCTGGCGCAGTTGCCGCTTGCCACCTTTTAGATATACACAGATACACGTACTCACAGATGCCCGTACTTACAGATACCCGTACTTGCGGATACCCTTACTCTTAGATACCTCACACAGACACACAATCGCACACAATCAATTGCCTAAAGTAGTTTGTAAAATGGGATAAAGTTGCAGTAAACTGGGGATCCCGCTGCAAAAGGATTCCCCGAGACGGTCTCTAATGAAAACGTAAAATCCAGCCGCACTTAACCCTCCCCTCTCGATTTTCCCAGCTGAATTTTCCAGCTTTATTTGCCCAAGATTTGTGAGCAAACATACATGGATTTCGGTTGGGTTTTCTCAGCGTCTTTACGGTTTTCTTCGTTTTTTTTCTTGCGCCCGACTTGTTCTTTCTTATTATTTCGATTTACTCGTATCTGGCGAATCTGGCGTATCTGCTATATCTGCTGCTCCTTGCGAAAGGCACCGCACTGCAGTCATTTTACTCGAGACCCCCTTGGGCAATTTTAAGGTCCCTCTTCCCCTTCCTTCAATACCAATGCTGAATTCTTAGCCGTATTTTCCCCCCACCACCTGATTTTTCCTGATTTTCCCCCAGTGCGCTTGAAATTTTGAGGGCAGCCAAGTGAATCTGTCAAACGGCAAATACGAGTAAATAATAAAATCAAGTTGCCGGGCTGGTAATGTGCTCGAAATTGATTTTTTGTTGCGCCAGACAACAGTTTTTTGGGTAAGAAGAGAGAGAGACACAATGGGCAATGGAGGAGGTAAGGGTACTTGGGCAAATATTTGGTCAAAAATTGCCAGGCAGGTGTTTTGGGGGGGAGCTCTGTGTTTGTTTGAACTCTTTAGCAAGGACATGGAAAGGAGGGGAAAAACAGTTTGTGGGCCTTTAAATTAGTTTGTTGTTTTAAATTTAAGATAAAAAGACACTTTAATCAGGAGGAAAAAGTAGACTTTTAAAGAGATTGTCTGGCAATTATACTTTGAATATATTAAAGTTAGAATTATGGCCTTATTTCAATTAATTTTGTTGGACTTTTTGCTAGAGATCTCTTGTTTTCCTTGAGACCTTAAATATCTAAGGCAAATGCAAAGTGTTTCTTATTTTTTTGGCTGGCCTATCCTGTCAGCTGAAATGCTCGCTGGAACGCAACGAAATCCCCTAAATCAATAAAAGTTTCGATGGCTTAATACCAAAACGGAAGCGGTGCTGGCAGCGGCGACGACAGTCGCTAAGTCGACGAAAATATGCCGCCATTCGGGGGGCTCCATGCCTGGTTCTGGGTGCTATTATTGCATTCCCAGTGCACTACATTTTTTATTGACTTAGTTTCGAGTGGCAGCGGTGCCGCAAAGTTTGCAACTCTTCCTTTTTTTTTTTTTTTTAGAGGGGCCATTATTGGGGATCTGCCTACTTTAGGCGTTGTCTGGCGATAGTTTTTTCGGCTTTGCGATTACAAATGAGATTTATACGGCCATTTCCGTGCCATTAGAGGAAGTGCAGGCAGGATCTCTTTCTCTTTCTCTCTACGACTGTGCCTAGTCGAGTGTGCAGCCATAAAGAAAACCAAACCAAATGTAAGGGATAAAAAAAAACAAGTATAACTTTTACCCCCTCCTTGCTCATATTTTCCCTGGCCTTGTCGCATTAACCAACGCTTTTTCATTTACTTCCCCTGCAGGCCAACTTGTCAGCGAAGCGGCACGCCTAATGTCCTTTTGATAGGCTCTCCTCGACGGCGGCGGCTCCTGGATGTGTCCACTGCAGCAGCGGCGCCAGACCCTTGATAAATTATCATGTGAGGATGCAGATGCAGGATGCTGGCTGCTGGCTGTTAGCTGGTGGCTGCAGGAAGCCCGCATCCAGGCTGGAGAGGATGTCCTGGCAGCTGCAGCAAATGATGGTGTGCATAGGAACCTAAAACTGGCGCAAAAAAACCGCTCACCTGCGACGATTTTTAATCTATTTTAAATGATTGTAATGGTATGGTGCGACCGGATGATGGTTCACAACGACCGTGTCCTTTCAACGGGTCGGTGGGACTTTCGTCCGTTTGTAACGCCATTTGTCAGCGATTTATCAGTGTCCCGGGATTATTTATGATGTCGTCCTTAAACATACACCACTATATTGTATGATGTATATATCTATGTGTCCGCATCTGCTGTCTATCGATAGTGGCATTAATTGATTTGTAATTGCATCCGGCGTGTGAAATTAATGCTAAAACGATTGCTCTTGTTAATAAATAAATTGTGATTGCCAGTATTTAAATACATGTATTTTAATATTTATTTATGTATATATATATATATATTATTTCATTTGAACAATCGATAATATCTTTTTGAATGGGATAACAACAAGCGAAACGTTTGTCTTCTGGGTCTCTCTGCGTGCACGAGAATAATAATAACAATATTTGATAAAGGGTATAAAAACTAGGCGACTCTCTCTCTCTATCTCGAATAACATTAACATGATTGGTCTTTACAAATAGATAATTGTATAAATAATTTGACTATTGACTAGGGATAAATTTGTCGCATTTGCTTCTTCGTGTCTTTCTCTTTGCTAATTATTGGCTAATGTGTATATTTGGAGCAGCAGCGGAATAAATAGAACATCAAATGGATTGCACTGGGGGGCGGGGGGTAATAAGGCAGCGCCTAACTACTTAGCACTACAATGGATGCGCAAATTCATGAGACGGCGGCGAGATTCTTTTGCTTTTTTTTCTGCCACTTTTGGATTGTTTAAATTTTAGATTATTGCGATTTCCTGCTTCGCCGCATTCAATTCGCCGCACTTCCGCTTATTCACCACGCTGCAGGTGTGCAACTCGGCTAGCGCGGGGTTCTTAACTAGACTACGGTCAAGTTTCTTCGATTGGCAAGAAAAAAAGGAGCTTTATCCTTTGGACTCCTATGAGATGTACAGCTCCACGCAGGAGTTGGTCACCAGAGGTGTGGCAGCGGTCACTCCGCCGGCACCCTGACTGCCCGTCTTCAAGGGAGGCGCCGCTGTTGCTGCGGGTGTAGCCGCGGCATGGTTTGTGTCTATGCTAAGCAGCGTTTGAGATGAAGTTACTTCCGCCTCCTGAGTTGATCCTACTTCACCCGTGGGCGTGGCCTCGTCGCTGGTTGTTCCATTCAGAGCAATGGCCGGTACGGAGAGCTTGCTTGAGCCAGAGCCGGAAACGGAGCTGGAACTGGAGCTAGAATTGGAATTGGAGCCACTGCCGGGAAACTGCTTGGCCCCAGGCACAAAGGACACCGTCGCCTTGGTGGGCGTGAGTATCAGGCCGGCGGTAGTGTGAGGAATGGCCACGCCAGGCGGCGACAGCGGCGAAGGCGGAAAAAAGTCCAGCGGGTACTGAAAGGGGGGAAATATTTATTAATAAAGTTTAAACTAATTTTTATATCACAATTATATAGCATTTTCTTTTGCTTACCAAAGGTTGCGATGGCGAGTGCGCTCCCGGCTGACTGAAGTAGGTGGTGGGAGAGACGGGCGGACTTGGGTAGGGCCAGTAGACAAGTGGAGGCGGATAAAAGGCCGACGCTGGGTGGTGCGGATGCGTATGGGGATGGGCGTGGTGTGGATGGTGGTGCGAACGAGGCGTGGCCAGCAGGGGTGTGTGAGGAGGCGGCGGCGGCGGACCCGCTCCATAGGCGGGGAATGGAGCACCAAAGTGGGCACCCAACACAGCGGCACCTAGACCAAGAAACAAAGAAAAAAACGTTTATTATCTATTGAAGATTTTCAACATTTTCCAGGGGAATCTCTAGCGAAAAAAGGGTATTTCTGAGAGGGCAGCTATTGGTAATTGGTAGAGGGTAACAGGTGTTGTGAGTATGACTTGCAGAGGAAGACATATACAAGATATACAGGTATATATGCGGGAATTGAACAGCAAATCCTGGTCTTCTAGCTGTTTTGAATCTCTTAAAAGTTCTATCCTTTTTTTTTTTTCTTTGGTTACTTTGGTTAGTTAGTGATCTTAACTCCGTAGCTAGTGGGGTTAGTCGGTGGGGTTTTTTAGGTTTTAAGTTAGCAGGGGGCAAAATCGTATTCAATCACTCACCGTTTAGACATTGCAATGGTAGGAGAGACATTTATATATATGTATATAGTACTTGGTAGTTGGAACGAGTATCTTACCACCTCACCACCAGAGACCATGAAAACAGTTGCGTACAACGAGAGTACAAGTACAAATTTGGAACATGTTTAGCCGATTGATTGATTGTTTTTTTGTTGTTCTTGTTGTTGTTGAGTAATTTTGAGTCGATTGTTGTACGAGTATTGTTTAATCCAAGCACCAGGCCCTCAAAGAGCCGTATTGATATTATGCACCCGAAGGACGACTGCGCCGAGTTACATACAGGATGCGTCTATGGACTAATACGATCATGATGGACATTCCACTTAAAGTTACGAGAGCACCATATATTTATATATACTTATATGCAGCTAGAACAGTGACGGAAACAGAAACCAATTACACACGCCATATGCCGACTCCGATTCCATCAGATCCACTGAAAGTCCGCTGAAAACGCGATCGAGTGTAAAGCTAAGCCCAAGCCCCGGATACCCCAGTTACAAGTGTACATATATAGAGGTGTGTGTCTATGAGGGGGTATGGTGTGGGTCAAGGGATCAAGGATATATAGGGTAGGGTATAGGGAGTTACGGGTTACTTTCCATTAGTAGGGAGTATCTTAACCCATTATATGACTTTTTTCGAGGGGGGTTTTTATTGGTTAGATCGATCCTCTACTCGTCGGGATATAACACACACAAAGAGCGACAGAGATGGTAAAAGATATAGATAGATTGATTGAGAGAGAGAGAGAGAGAAAGAGAGCGTAGGCGGTATGTCGTATTTTATTGATGTAAAAAATTAATCAAAGATTGTTTACTAACATCTAGTGGTTATAAAAAAGAATGGAATATCAAAAATTGTAAAAGTTTCCAGAAAAAAACATTAAAAACTTTTGCTTTTGTGCGTACGAACTAGTTAATTAGAGATATTATTGATTATGTGTGTGTTGGTTGCTTGGTTGTTTAAAGTGGCCGCAGAACCCGCTCGGAAGCCACTCGATTGCCATACGACTACTAAGACTATAAGGTTAAATTAGGCTAAGGATTAGGCTAGGCGCTGGCTATCTTTCCCATGCCTTTCTCTCGCCAAGCTCGATATACTCCCAAGCGGAGCGAAACTGAGTGTTAGACGCAGCAGGAGGAGGAGGAAGGGTTGGATCTTGGGGAATCGATATCCCGCCAGGAAGACGCTCACAGGAAGCTTGAAGGTGTGTGTAAAGTTAACCAGTAACCAGTTATCATCCAGACTAGACACGCACTATATATGTTTGTTTAGACACTGAAGCGGACCCAAGACTTACAACAAGCTTTAGATAGAGTATCTCTAGTTGATCCCGAGACTAAATTAGTGATGACAGAGAACACACAGACAGTGAGAGGGGGAGATACATATATCGAGAGAGATATATAGCAGAGTGATAGGTATAGAGAGTACTATCCCGTTTGCGACTAACACCAGTTACGCACACTTAAGAGCTACACCATCTAGATCTAGGCACTATTTATAGGGTGTACGGTATTGCAAGTCAAAACGATGAGATTATAATTATTATTAATTGAATTGTTTGATTAATTAGTTAAGAGAGAGGCACGGGAGAAGTCTTGCCATCATCATCGTCTTACAACTAGCATGTATAAATGTATAAATATAGGTATAGAAATCGATGGGCACACAACTGACTCCACCGATCGATGGTTATTCAAGAACTGGGTATCATTATATCATATATATATACGTATTTATATATAGATTCGCTTAGCCCGTAAACAGTTCTCGGTATATGGGTTTCCGTTTTCAAAAATTCAGCTTAAATATGCGCTTGAGCCAACACCTGACGTCGTTCATGGCGGGAGCTTGGGTATCTTGGGGTTTGGTAAAAAGAGAAGGGTCTTCCAAAAGGAGGGGTTTACATTAAAATTAGATTGCACTGAAGGGGCACTCCGCCATTAGAGACGCCACTCTCCGGCCATGAACGACGTTAGCCTCTGTTGATTGCCTTCGAATTGGAGGTGGGGGGGACGGGCCATGTTTATATATTTTAATATATATAATATATATTTCGTTCCGCCCCCTCTGTCTTAGCCACACACGCCCGCACACACAAACACCAAGCTTTTAAAGAAAATTTAGATTGTTTGAAAATGCTTAGTAGAACACAAGTGATCACAGGATTCTTTTGGATCCTTATTCTTTTCTAGATTCCCTCTGGGTTAGCCGTTGTACAAAATGCAAGTGTGTAGGTGAGCAGTGCTTAAGTATGTGTATGTGTGTGTGCCCACGTGTGTGTTTAAGGTTTAGGCTATTCCCCAACTCTGATCAAGTGATAATACATTTTATATATTTTAAAATTTTAACTATCAAAACAATTTAGATACAAATATCTAGCTTATAATTTGATATATATCCCTTGATCAGATCTGGTTAATGTCCCTGGTTTATTATATATATGTTTATAGTAAGTATTATTCGCTTAGACCATAGACAAGTATGCTTAGGCTACTACGAGTACTCCATACAAGAAAAGTACTTAAGTCTACGTTCCAAGTTGGTAATTAAGCTCTAGAGAATGTCTGGTATGCAGGTGTGTGAGTGTTGCCACGATGGTACATATGATATATTGTTACTAAATGTGTGGTGTGTGTGTGTGTGCTTTTTAATGCGGGTTTAACTTTCGCATGTTATGAACGAACGAACGAACGACACCCAATGCCCACTCGCGGAATGTGCCCGAAGTGCTGGAGTTTTCTAGGAAGCCATTATCTCCCGATCTATATGCCCGGATTGTAATAAGAGTAGACGCTACTCGGCGTGCGGGTCAGAGCCCGCTTGGCCGCACTGGCCGCCGCCGCTGCTCCGGCTGCATCCTGCTGGAAGGCATTCTCATAAGAGCGCTTCATGGAGCTGCCTGCCGTGGAGCCGGCTGAGGAGGCTGCCGCTGCCGCTGCCGCCCCAGCTCCTGTCCCAGCTGCTGCTACTGCCCCTGCAGCGGTGGGCATATAACCCAACTGAAAGGGCGGCAAATAAGCAGCCGCAGGACGTTGCATTAACACAAACTGCGGCTGATGGCCCTGCTGTAGCATGGCACTGGCATAGAGCTGCTGTTGCTGCTGCTGCGCCTGCTGGTGCTGCAGATACAGATGCGGATGCTGTTGCAACATTGCGCTGGCATAGAGCTGCTGCTGCTGTGCCTGCTGCACCTGCTGCTGCTGTTGCTGCTCTGCGGCCAAAGCAGCTGCCGCCGCCTGTTGGCGCACCAGCAAACTCTGCTGGGCAATAAACTGGGCCTGCTGTTGGGCCAGCAGGGCGGGCGTGGAACCCGCTCCTGCTGCAGATCCTGGCGGCGGCAATGAAAACGGATTGATGGAGTAGCTTGGAGGAGCCAGGGCCACCGCTGCACTCTGCAGCGAGGCAGCATTATGAGCAGCAGCCGCCGCCGAGGGTTGAGCGGCCATGAAGGAGGCCAAACCGCCGGCGGTTGAAAGATTCGGCAGCAAAGCCGAGGAGGGAGGCAATCCATGATGAGCTGCAGCGGCAGCTGCCGCGGCGGCTGCTACCGCCGAGTGGGCATGGCCTGGGTGCGTGTGCGGATGAGTGTGCGTGTTGTGTGAATGGGAGCCGCCCAGCGGACTGAGCGGACTTAGCGACTGGGCAACTGAGCCGGCAGTGGAGCTAACCGTCGGCGACTGACCGCCGGCCGCCGAACTGAACATACCCGAGGTGGCCGCCAGCAGGGAGGTCTGCTTGTGGGCATGGCCAGCATGATGCGGAGGCGGCGGCTGGGCCACTGGTGAGGCCAAGCCGCCATTGAGGACCATGTTCATGTCGTCGCCGGAGCATTGGAACACCTCGATGTAGCGGAACTTCTTGCCAAAGACCATGTACTGGTTGTGCTTGCGCTGGGCACACAAACGGGCCGAGTCCTCCGAGTCCATTTGGATGAAGGCCTCGCCACTGGGATGGCCCTGTGAAAAAAGAAACAAAGATAGAAGAAATATAGTAGAAATTCATAATTAAATTAATTTCCCAAACTCACCTGCGCATTGATCACCATATGCACACCCTGGTAGATGATGTGCTTGGCAAAGTCGTCCAGAAAGTGGAGTATGTGCTCGACCATCGCCTCGTAGGGCAGTCCGCGCAGCCGAATGCAGTTCTTGGTAGTGCCCGAGGTGATGAGGTGCTGTGTGGGAAGAGTGAGAGCGGCATGGGGCACCGGAGGGCAGAGGTTAGCTGTCTGTGTGGCTGCGAGGCTGTGACCGAGGCTGTGGGCACCCACCTGCGGCAGCAGCGGCAGCTGCATCGTCGGCAGCTGGGCAATCAGCGGCGGTTGACTATGATTGCCGCCCGACTCATAGTTCTTGGGATCCATTGAGCGGTTGAGGACCTGCTGCACCTCGGCGGTTGTGGAGCGGAAAAGCTCGATGTACCGCTGCCCGATGGACTCGCGATGACGGCCCAGCGCCTTGGGCGCATCCGTCTCGTGGGCGAACAGAACGAAGGCATCTCCGGTGGCCCGTCCGTCTGGTTTCTTTACAAACAGCACGCCCTCGCTACCATCGAGAACGTGACAGGGCGCCGTATCGCCAGTGGTGAAGAAATCCAGCTGGAAGAGGAATAAATAGTTTATTAGTTTGTTGATAATGAATTTTACTTTTTACTTTATATTTATTTGGATTATATGTGAGCTTATCTAAACAAAGTAAAACTAAGATAGTTTCTGGTTAAAAATCTAGATTTTTGTTTATAACAAAAGGTTTTAAATGTTTACTTTTGAGTAAGTAAGCTTATGGTTCAATTCTAAGCAAAAACTGATAATACATTTCCTTGAAATAAAGTTTATATTTCAGAAAAAACTAATAATCAATTTTTTTTTGCTTGTTTGGCACTTGAAATGCCATAACATTTAAAAGAAAAGTCATTAAGATTTCATAGAAAATTCATAAAAATCATAATAAATTCATTGTTCCCAAAAATAGAAGACTTAATGTAAGAAATACTTACCACTTGCTTGGCTGTGGCATCGTAGGGCAAACCCCGCATCCGAATGATCACCTGGGCGCCCTTGGAGAGAAAGGCCTGCGCCTCATTAGATGCACCGCCGGCAATGGCCAGGAAATCATCCCCGGAGGCCCGGTACACCTCGATGTAACGGGTTCCAATGTGATGCTTGTGCCGCTTGAGCGCCATGTCGCGATGCTCCTGGGACACAAAGCGAATGAGGGCCTCGCCGTTGCGCCGCCCCAGCGGAGAGAGGCAGAGTGCCACGCCGCCTCTGGAAATCGCAGAATGTAAATCAGTTTCGAAGATAAAGTAGGTCGCTTGTAATCGCGGCGGGTGTGACCCCCTGAACTGGCTTATCAATGGGTTGCATTTGGCTTGGTTTAAGTTGGTTTGGGTTGGGCTTTACTTTCTTTGTTGGTGGGGTTAATCATACACACTCACTTGGCTACGTTGAGGCCGCGGAAGAACTTGGCTATGTCCTGGTCACTGCTCTGCCAGGGCAATCCTCTGGCCCGCACTATGCAGTTGCCGTCGATCTCGTCGTCAATTGAGCTGCGGGTAAAAGAGGCCACAAGAGGTTAGTAAGTAAGTAACCAAGTGCTTGGCTATCCTTATGCAACACGTGTGCTTGGAGCCTTTGAGAAAACGGCGTCGCAGTCACGTATCGCTATGCAGCCAGAGTTCTTGGCGATTACCAAGTCACATAAACATTTTCTGCTGACTCTCCCAAACACACACTCGCGCACACACTGAACAGAATGTCATGCATAAATGGGCCAGCCAGCAAATAACAAAAAATACAAAATCACAACGAAAAATGGAAAATAAAACCAAATGAGCTGCGCGAACAAATAAAAACATGAATAATCCGACAAGGAGAGTTTCTGAAAAGTGCCATTTCAATACTCGGGGGGTTACCTTTCCCTCACTTTCGCCCTGGCTAATTGAATATTTTATAGACGGCTGTTTTTAAGGCAGGCAGCTGAAATTTTCCAAGGCGATCTCGCGATAACCAGAAAGGTTCCCTATGATCCGTTGCGATGTGCCACCCGATACTATACGACACGATTCGATCCGATTCGAGAACTGAGAACCCAGACCGATCCCTTGCCACAATGAGCTCTTATCGCCTTCCAAGCCAAACGTAGACTGAGAAGACGACGCTCCCAGCTCGGATTTGGGGGGGCCGCTTCGTGGGTCTGGGTGTCTCAGGTCTCGAGTGGGATCGCTATGAATGAGTTTGAGTTTTTCGTGCTTGGATCAGCTGAGAGGGGGAGCTTGAGTGGAGTCTTTGTGCTGGCGGAACTAGCTCAAAACCGTTTCGAATTGCAAACTCACCAAATTCCAGGTTCCAGTACCAGGTTGACCAACTCGTTTGCAGCAAATTTGTGACCTGCACAAAGGTAATGTTGGTTTAAAATTGGATTTAAAGGGAATAGATTGGTACAACTCACCTGCCTGCAGCAGTGTCTGGATCACAGTGACCATGTCGCGAGATTCGCGTATGTAAAAGTCGTTGTCTTCCACCGATGAAGTGTTGAGATCTAAAAATGTACAAATAAAAGAAAGTAAAAGTTAATAAACATTTTAAATCTTTCTTAAATTGTTTCTTATTCATTACAAATTACTTATATTTCCCATAAATAAAATAAAAATAGTTTAAAAGATTTCCCGCCTCAAAAAAACCGAAAACTCACCTCCCAGCATCTCGGCGATGGACTGTGGCATGGGCGCCGTTGGCGCTTGCAGCATCTTTTTCACATCCTTGACGGGGACGAGGGCGCGGGCAAGGTCGCCGGACTTGTAGCGCAAAAACTCCTTGCGCAGGTCGCTAAACCGATTATAGTACGTAGGCAGCTCCACATCCTTGGCACTGGCCTCCCGATGTAGGCACTGCCTCAGCGGCAACTGTCCGTCCGTGACCAGTTTGATCTCCGTATCGTGGAGCGACAGCGAACGCAGGTAGGCATCGAACTGAAAGGAAAATACGTATTAGTAACAGTAATTATTACAGAGAGAGGAAAACTATAAGAGAGTCTGGAGCAAAGGTCGCATACTATAAGGAAAAATACCCCAAGCATTCCACTGGCGATAGACTCTTTGGGTCAACACTGATAGTGCCACATATTTGCTCCAATGCCATTGGCTTGGAACCCGTTTAGTCGCCGGCAATTACTACCAATTAAGTGAACAGTTTTCAGCCGTGTCACGGTGAGTAAATATAACACGCGGCTTAATGTCGCATTAACCGCTCGAAATCGCAGCGGAGAGTGGAGTATAAACCATATGACATCACTAATCCCCAACTGCAGCTTTTCTGATACTCTTTTTTTATCTCCGGGCCAATGCCTCTGCGGGCCCTATTGACTTGACCAATTAGTATGCCAGGCTTGTGCCGGATATTTCCAATGCGTCACGCCTTGATCTCGTCTGGGAAGAAAAGTTTCCAGATGAACTTTTAAGCAAAGTGCAATAATTGCCTTAGGCAGGGGTATAAGTATTTAGATCTAAGACGTTTCAGGGATTTTAAAAGGGTCTTAACTGATTTGTATCACTGATAAACTAAAGTTTAGTTCATCAAAAACTAAAAATAAACCTGATTAAAACATAGTATTTTCGATTTAAAAACTATAAATGCTACAGAAGCTATCAATCTAAAATAAACCATGATTCAACTTTTTCAACCCCATTCTGTTGTACTTCTCCTCTCCCCAACCATATCGAGATCTTTTATCTGCATCAGCAGCCAATAATATATGCCGAATGTGTTTGCCGAGTGGCATTTTCCCGCACCTCTGCCAGAGAGACTCGAGAGTGTCAGAATGGAGCCGAAACTAAAACTGGGGGCTTGCCTGAAGTGGTTGCCTTATCAGGCAGGGTTTCCGATAAGCATTGAGGAGGGGGAGTAAGAGAAGGGGGTCTGGTATGAATGGGTGTGGAATCTGTGCAGGGCCAAAGGTCTTCAAGAGGAGAGTGCAACCCATGGTGATGGGGCAAGAATTAAGTACATTAATCATGACTCCCGCAAATTGAAATCAGATCTTTGATCGCCGATCGGCTTATCAGAAATACATAAATAAATTAACATGTGAGTTGGCAATGTTATTGATCTTTAACTAATCGGGTGACAGAAGAAAGTTCAAAATACTGTAAGCAATGAAAGATAAAGATGTTTTAGCTCTAAGAGACATAGCATTAAGAAAAATTGTATATAATTCTTAGATGTATTTCTTTATTTTAGTCTTGTAGTCCCGAATTCCCGAATTCAAACACATTTGAACTATATATTCTTTGATATAAATGTATGTTCTTTTTCTCCCTGTGCACTTTTACAGCCCTGGAAATCCGATGCCCATTGATAAGAGACGACGCAACACTTGAACGAGAAGCCGGGGCAAGGACCAACAACGATTCATTCTCTGTTTTAGAGGGTGCGTTCCATAAATAGACTACCCTCTGCCCCCACAAACGTTTGCATTCACTCTAGCCCACATATAGTGCAGTGTGCCTAATCTTATCGGATTTGGTTACCGGCTCTCCTCCGGCTGATAACAGGCCGAAATCCAAACAAGTCACAATAACCCGAAACAACGTGCTCCGATTACGGGATGGGATTGAATTGGATTATATGATTGGTACGCACCTCTTCGATGGCCTCGCTCAGTGGCTTGCCCGCCGCCTGGGCCTCTGCTATGGGCAGGATTAGCTCACTACCGTTGTCCAGAGAGTTTCCGTTGCCACTTCCAGTGCCACTGCCATTATTGGAGACTGCAGAAGAGTCGCCAATTGCTAGGGGCGGGGAACTGGCCGTGTTATTGGTGGCACTCGAGTTGTCCGAGGAGCCCGAGATGGTGCGATCTTTGATGAAGTAACCATCCGGCCGCACGAGTATTTGTTTGGTGCCAACGATCTGTGGATATGTGAGAGGGAGGGGAAGTATTCTTTAGTCTCGTCTCGTCTAACCAGACAATGATAATTGCTGGTAATAATGATAGGGAAGGGTTGTAAAGGGTCTTTAAGGGAAAGAGATTTCAATACTCTAACTAAGGGTATTATGATATTAAGCCTAAGTTGGAGAATCTTGATTTTAAATACTTAATAAAATATACTATTCCTAAAGCATTCATTTCACAATTAATAATGATATTACAAATTTGTAAATATATACTTTATGATCCCCAAACTCAAACCATTGTATACAAAAATACAGTAAGCATGACTGTTTCCAGTCTTATCAATCCAAACAGAAACCGCTCTTGACCGAGCCAAGTTTTTGCTATCACTATCATCCGATAGTGGAGTACACCTGCAACCTGGGGCGCCATGTTTCTGGATGGTTCTGGGGATGTACATATTTTAAAAGGTGAACTGCTGAAAACCTTCAGAATTTCAGGGAACAAAGAGCCAGTCTTGCGTCAGCGGATATGCAAAGAAGTCAAAGAAGTCGCGATCTGAATCTGAATCGGAATTGGAATCGAGGCCCCCTGCAGGTAGTTGGGCTCTATGCAAATCTATAAAAATCCAAAACAGAACGGGAGACCTTAGGCCTTAGCAAATGAAACTAACCGTGTGTACTTTTCTTTGTTTTCCAATTTCTGACGATGTCTGAAATCGATTTGCATGGGCTTTGAATGGCAGGCCAATATTTACGGGGAAACGGGTCTATACGATATACGGCTGGGTGGAATAGGTTTCCGAGGAAAATGAAAAATGCATGAGTTTGCCGGCCGTCATGTTATATTCATCCAGCTCCGGCATATTTGGGTTCCTTTGGGGTTAAGAGCGCCCCTAATTATGCCAGCCTTTTCGGTTTCCCAACACATCCGATGATGTGTACGCTATATAGTAGGAGAGAGGGTATATGCCTTAGTTTACATTAACCCACTCAGTTAGCTATCTGTAGAATCGCAGATTGAATTATTAAAGTTCAGACAGCTAAGAGTTCTAATTGGTTCAAGTAGAGCCGCACAGAGCGATAGAGATTAAGAGCGGCGGCGGCTGCGGCCTCACCTGTCCGCGCACCTCCACCACTCCAGCGACTTGTTGCAGTTTGTTTTCGAATGTTAATTAACTTTAATTGTTGCCATACGAGTCATAACTAGCCTGTAATTAACATGCCAATTACTGCATCGGTATATGTAAGCCAGCAAAGCGAGTGTGTGTGTGTGTGTGTGTGTGTCTTTATCAAATCAAGAAAATTGCTCTCGAGCAAGAAATCTATAACAGAGAAATTCAATTTGAGATTGAGCTGACACGAAAATGGAAGCGGGAAACAGATCACCTGAGAGACGTCGGAAAAGTGTGTCTCCGTTCGGGAAAGTCGCCTGCCTGCTTGCCTGCCTGCCAATAAATTCTGTTATCACGCTTCCCCCCAAAACGAATACCATAATCAAGCGATCCAAATTGACAGTTCCGTCGTACCGCCCCTCAACTGTCCAAAATAAGACTACCTATCGCTCCATTAGGCAGCCAAATGACAGTTGGAATCGGTCATCGATATAGGCGTTATTATGGGGCACGTCGTCAGTGTGCCAAATATAAAACCCAGACTACTTCTATGGTTGAATCAAAATATTAATTTCAGTCACTGTTCTATGGTTGAATCAAAATATTAATTTCTGTCACTGGATTATTGCAGTCACAATGACAGAGTTGGCTAAGAGAAGGAAGGAACTATATGATACTATTATTAAGTATGAAGTTTTCCACAGATATCAATCTACTAGCTTACGATGAGGTTTCAAGAGATATGCAAGGGGGTCTCAAATAGAGCTATGTATATATAGCTCCATACTGCATCATCATGACTCTTTTAATAATTATTTTTTGGAGTACCAGACTCACCATGATCTGTAAGACATACCAATTAAATATCACATCTTTAGCTAACCTATTAAAATCTAAAATTAAAACATATATATTAATATTCATAATTGACAGGTTTTACCACAAAGCAAGCCTTACTTTCCCTTAATTAATTTGAGACTCTTAGGAAATATTTTTAATGATATATGTTATTTTCGATCACACTTTTGTCTCGTGATCTAAACCAAATATATTCATAAATCGCAACAGTTTAAAGTGACTTAAACACTATATATTGTTAAAAATTAACTCATTTCTTTATTTAAAGTTATTTTTTTTCGATAAGCAGCGCCACTTTCCAATGGTTTGCGAATACCGTTGCAAGCATTATGTGGCTTCAGATATTTGCATATATTTCGCAGACTGAATTTGGTATTCAGATTTGCCGCCAATATATAAATTATATATTATTCAGAAGTCTGGTGTAGACTAGCATCGCTCATTAGGGTCTGGAACTTGGCGAGGGGTTGTCGGCAAAAGGAAAGAGGATCTATTGGAGAAATTCGACCGTCTGACCCCTTGACCCAACCGAAAATAGCTATAGAGAAAAGCGAAATAAATAATAATAATAATAATAATACCACCAATAGTTTGCCACGGGGACTCACCGCGCAAGATTAGCATAAAAATTGGCCCCAAAGCCGAATCGTTTTGCGAAAGCCACTAAGCCACTTAGCTGGAAGCCAGAGTTTAAGCGCGGGGTAATTAATTCACAATAGCTTGGCAGCGGCCAAAGACAGAAGCTGCCGGCTCTGACACCGCTGGGACGGGTCAAGGGGGCCATCGGAAGGGTTCGAGAAAAAGTCTCAAAAAAGTTTCAAAAAAGTCTCAAAGCAGAAATAGAAGCAACCGTAATTGCGGCCCCCCCAATGTCGCCATTAAATGCCACTTAAGATCAGCCAAAGGGGCCCCCTCATCGGGGAGGAGAAGGGAGGTACTCCCTGCACTTACTAAAATGTTGCGTGCTCGTCATAAAATCGCGACAATGTCAGGCAAACATCTACACCGACAACAAACGAAAAAAGCTAAGCCAGCAAATAGCCCCTCAAGAGCCCCGACCCGAAGGTACACACAGAGCCATCTAATGGCCGGCAATTTTTCCCTCATCAGTTCTAGCCGGTGCGAAAACAACCTCCACAATATATATATATTTGTATATATAGTGTAGTGTATAGTGCCTGGGATATCGGTAAGTATCGGTGCGGTTCCTCCGAACACGCAGCCTCCGCCGGAATCGAAGCGTCCACGTAACCGCCCGATACGGGTTTTGTGTGCTCTCGAGATTGTCAAGCACATTGGGCAAATAAAATTGCGTACCGAAAGCGTCATTATTGAACCCCACGAAATGCATCGAAAATGGGGAAACCGAATGGTTGCTCAATGAAACCGATAATGGGGGTATAAATTATTCAAAGATCTTTCAATCCAAAACAAAACGATTACCTCACTCACAAACTATTTATCTTGAAATTACTATAAGTTAAGACAAATCTATAAGATAATACTGATGATTGTTAATTACATTTAAATCAAAAATAAAACGATCAGTATTTAAACTCAATCCTATCTCCTATCTCCGCTTTAAACTATAACCATTTCCCACAGTAAACACATCTCTTGAAGGATGCCAATACCCCTGTGCCTATTACATCATCTGCAATTTGAAAATCTTCTGTATGCTTTCTTGGAAAACTTTGCTTTGGCACTTGGCAAATAAAATTTAATGGCCGGGCGATAGTTTGTCGGTTAGGGAATTTCGTAATGCCATGGAGCCGGCTCCGATGAGGGCTTTCGACTTGACGGGGACAGCAGGTTTCGGTTGGTCTGCCCTTAGCCACCTCGGATGTTTAGAGATTTTTTCCAAACAATTAGTGTCAATCGCTTGGTAAACTCAAAATATGCAAATATCCATATATACGCTGTACCCGCCCCACCATTTTCTTTCCCACTCCCCCTCCATTGTGGGGAGGGATCTCCCCGAAAACATAAACATCTCAATACTGATGAACCCCAAACACGTGGCTGGTTGGAAATTCTGTCAGATTCCAGGGTTCGAAAGTGTCAATCCAGGCATAATCTAGCGCCTCGTAAATATATATCGAAAGAGGTATAACCACTAATTAGATATATATCGTATTGTGATTGCAGCTTTAAGGTAATCGTAGATATTTCTCTAGTATCTTACGGTTTGTTTGATACTCGATCAACAGTCGCAACTTGTCATTATAGTATCTGGGGAATTATCTAGAGAATGTATGATGTATTCTGTATTTAATTCAAGGGTATTTCGAAATATAGCTGGCCGAATGAAAACACTCGGCCAGCATCTTTTTTCTTCAACATTTTTTGGCGAATCAAAATCGAGAGCTGTAACATAATAAGCAATCGCTACGCCACACAGTTGAAAGTGCAGCGCATTGGCTGATTGTATGGGTGGGTATCTGTGTGTATGCGAGGGGTCTGTTATCGCACAGCATTCATTAATTAAAGCGTAGACGAGAGCCGAGCGATCCAACAAAATGGTGAACAATGGGCGGTGCCACTGGATATACCCTCATGGAGATCAGGGAGCTTATTTTCTTTATATAGACCTTCACAGAAAATTGTTCCGCAATCTATTTGATCTTTAGAAATATCATTTTTATCATATCTTGTCATTATAAGTGACAATTAGTCGTAAATTAATATATTCAAAATCGTTTGGAATTTTTTTTGTGATCGATGAGCAGAAATAGGTTAATTAGAAAATTATTATTCTGATTTCAATATTATCATGACAATTATTTCATGCTTTAAATGCTATTAGTATCAACTCACCTGTCCAGTGGTCACTTCCAGAAGGACAAACACCAGCAATATAATCTCCTTCTCGTCGGATCCCAGGCCAGGACCATTTTGGCCACAGGTAGCAATGTACAGCGAAACAACGTGCTCGGGAACCTGCATTTTATCTATATATCCTCCTCCTCCTGAGATGATCGTGCTGAAGATCGCTGTGGTGATCGCGGATCAAGGATCCTATGATTTAGCCTATTTGCTTATAGATCCTAGTGCTCCTTGAACTGAAGCCTCATGCCAGACTAGCTTCGAACGAACTGCATTCTCAGGGCTGCTCCGCCAGCGGCTGTGCCTGCAAGTGTACAAAAAGGGGAAAGGAGGTGTAAGTAATTGCACAATCCGCACTGAAAACTGCAAGCTGAACTCGGACTTTGGGCTGCATATTAAGCAAGCACTAATTACGAGTGCGTTCAAGAAATGTCAAACAAAGCGAATCGGTTTGTGGCAGAGTCAAAGCGAAACCACTATAAAGATATATACTAAACACGACATATACTATGTGTGGCGGCGAGCTCGCACTAAAAAATCAAAAAGAAAGCCAAAGTCCGACGATTTGCGCGAAACTTGGCAAAACGCTTGACACCGCGACATTTTGCATATGCAATCCATCGTCTGTCCGTCCGTTTGTCCCTCATTTAACCCATGTAACGTTGCCAGTTTTCCCCGTCACCTTGCCGCGTTGCCGCTTTTCAGCTGCATTTATAATTGGCTCGGAATGGAACTTCTAAGACCGCTGACGTCAAGGGGGTCAAATTGAAATTAAAGTATTAACCCTCGCCTGGCGATTTGAAATTTAATTTCGCCCAACAACAAACTCAGTCAGACGGCGATGACGGGAACGAAAAGTGTAGAAATATACGAAGGACCGACGAAAAAAAATTACGGCGCAGTTTTATGAGCATTTTTAATGGGAAAAGCTTTGCTCTTAATGAAAACACAAGACCCGCAGAGTTCAGCAAAATGGCGATCATGGGTTAATCGGGGCGCGCAGGCGCAAGTCGCTCTTTGTAGTGCTCAAAATGACTGCTCTTTGTTATAATTAAAATTTTAAATAATGCATATGTACGTGCAAAAAGGCCAGATTGTCGTAATTGAGTTACTTTAAGTGCTCCCCGTGTCGGATCTGATCAGATCGGAACGGAAGCTGGCAACAGTCCTGCTTCAATAAGAAGAACTTAAAGTTGTTCAATTAAAAATCTTCCTTAGGCCTTGAATGAATTGTTAAACTTGTATAAATTTAATTGATTTTAATTAAAATGGTTTACTACATATATTTAAAACACAAAAGTGTTATATTAATAGTTTTTTTATTTATGACAATTAAAAAATGCAGTAATTACAAATATAACTTTCAAAAGAATAAAAAACATCACAAGTTAAGAGATATGATTTTAAACCAAAACCATTAAATATTTAAAATTATTTCTCAATGTCCAATTATCATTTTTCGAGCAGATAAGCTGCTAGTTAAAAATTTGCAATAATTCTTTTGAGATTTAAGCTTAACCCACATTATAAGTCTAAAGGAATTTTAAAGTATATCATGTCGACGATCGACTGTAGCAGTCTGCTCTGCTTTTATAGTCCACACTTGACTTATAACTTGAATTGCCCGAGGGGATTTATCATCCCTCTTTTCACTGTTGCTCTGTATTTACTCAGTCCCTCCTGAAGATTTAAGATTGACCATGTGGTAATGAGCGTTTGCGGTTATATCTCGGGTCTTGTGCAATTTATGACGTTTACTTTTTACAGGTTTTCAAAGCTTAACTCTTTTTTGCATCTTGCCCTGCCCTTTGGGTCGTTTTTTCCGTTACTGGGAAATCATCATCAATACACGGGTTCCCACGTTCTCAAGCAACCCAAATCAAGAACTACGACTAAAAAGCCTAAACTGGTTCGTAACCTTTATGCTTTTGACATTATTTTTCGACCTCTGGGGTTAAGTAAACAGGAAAGTTGTAATGCTGCAATGCCTAATGTTGCAATACAAACTAAAAGGCCTAAAAGCTCTCTATTTCCTGTTCCGGATGGAAACGAAAGACCTTAAACCCTTATAGGCCATTAAAGCCCCTTGATTTACCTCTACCTGCCGAGGGAGGGGCGGGGCATATCATACTGTAAGTGGCGGGCTTATGAGATGGTTTATGTGCTTTTAATTGATTGCAATGCAAGCGATGGAGAGCGATACTGTTATACGAAAAGGGCAGCCACGCATAGATAAGTTTTCCCTTTCGTTGGACACTTCATGATGATGAGAGATGGACATGGAAATGGTACTCTCTTCATTAATGAATAACGGTGCGCGGGTCTGGGCCCCAATTAAGGCAAAATAAAGAATGGTCAAAAAGACAATGGGAAAGCGCTATGGTCGTCATTAAAAAGAAGAAACCCAAAAAAACAGACTCTAACTGGAAATCAAAATTTAGGGGGACTTCCCCAAGACAAACTTATATAAATTTGAGGAATGGAAAGTTTTAACCGATATATAATTAATTATTTCTAAATTATGAGTTAAATTTTATATTAAAGAAAATTTGGCTAAGACGATAAAAAAAAATAGCCTTGAGGTTATATATTTTTTTTTTTAGCTATAGAAAATTCCGCCTTAGACGTTCGCCTGCAAATGAAGATCGGTCTCCAACTGAGGCCGTTACGCTTTTGAAAGAGAATGAGCCGTAAAGCTGGTGATTAAATACGAATTAGTGTCAGGCGCTGCAGGAGTGCAATAAAAACACACAATAACTCAACAACAACTAATGCAATTAATGAATTGCTTGCTACCTGCTGATTGGTAAACCAGAAAGTGAGCAGATTTTTTTCGGACTCGCTTATTAAATTATGAATTGCGCAAGTTTCTTTTTTACTATTTTTTTGTTTTGTTTTGTTTTATGCATTGTTTTCCGCTTGCAAATATCATTTGTTGCTACTGCCAGAGTGTACCGTTATTTCTTGTTGTTGTTGGGGCAACAGGAAACTTATGATTGCGCAAAATTGCTGGCGAGAAATGCCAATTGCCAAAGTTATTCACAACAAAAAAAGAGAGGTAACACAAAAAAGTGGAGAGAAAAGGAAAATGTTTTAGCCTCTTGCTGTAGTGCGGTTTTTATCTCCTTTCCTCTTTCAACCGAATCTCACGCAAGCAACAAGTGCAACTCTATTAATGTTGCTGTTGTTGTGATTCTTGTGTTGAAAACCAAATAAAGATCTAAGCCTTACGAATTTGGAATACCCTTGTGCGTGTATTGACACTTATCTATTCGTTAGAATTTTCCGTAAGGTAGCATGAGTCTTGAGTTTGGCGCATATCTTATCTCCACAACATTTAAATTAACTAAAAGTATTTTCCCCCAACTGGAATAATAAACAAAGAGGGAAATGTGCTAAATTATTAGTTAGATAATTTCAATAGTTAGCTTTAATTTTAAAATTCTCTCTTTGCCCTTTAAAAAATATAATTATAATTTATTATTCCAATCGATCGTACAAAATCTGTCAATTAAATAATCGAATAATCTTTTTCTAGGAGAGGGTATCATAAACAAGTCGGTCTCTCTTTCTCTCTGCATCTTCGTTTTGGTCTCAGCTAACTGTAAATTTGTTTTCACTTTGTTTAGCGCATCGCCCCTTACTGTTGTTTTCTTGTTGTTGCAGTGCTTGTTGTTGTTCATTTGGTTCATTCATTTTGGTATGTTTAATAGATTTTTCGACTTACAGCAACAGCAAAGTGGTTCTCAATCGGACAACCGTCTCTCCCGCTCGCTCTGCCTCGGATGCGACAGGTTGTTGTTGGTAAATGATATCTACAGCTTCCTCTTCTGCCTCTTCTTCTTCTTCGAGTTCGCCCTCGCTCTCGCCGCGATTTAACTGTTTTTACTGTTTTCTTGTTTTATATACATACGTTTTCTTCTCTCTCCTTCAACACGTTGTATACATTGCACTTGCTGGCTTTTCACAAATTTTCGGTTTTTATTGCACTTTCTTTTCGCCCGCCGCACACACACTTACACTCTCACACCTGTGTGTGTATTTGTATCAACGCCCGCGTTGTGTTTTGGCCGTTTAAGCAGTCAACTCTTCTTGGCTAAAGTGCTATATTATTTAAAACCACCGTATTAAAACGAGCGACTAGAGGGGGCGGGGGCTGCAAACAAGTCTTTTCTCTTCGTCTTGTTCGCCTGTTGCTTCTACCACTTTGTCTTGTCTTTTTTCTAGTTTTGTTGTTCAATATGTGTCGGTGTGCGTGTCGGATTTTTGTCAGGTTATTAACGGCCGCCGCGCATCCGCTTCGATTCAGGTTGGAAAAACAACTGATCGCCAGGTAACACAGGTAACCACAAAGGTAAGGTGAGTGAGCTGCGCTTGCAGAGCGAGAGACAGAGAGAGCGCGCTCAGGTGCCAAGCAAGATTCCAGCACGCACATACCAACAACAAAAACAACAGCAAGGTCCAGGTATGTGTTTGCCAATAGGCATCGCGATGGTAGGGAGAGGGAGGGGAGGGAGTTACACATACTCCACTCTCAAAGCTTGACTTAACGGAGAGAGCAGCAAACGTTTGGCTCCTCTCCCTCTCCCACTTAGTTTCCCACGCTCCGCAAGACAGTTACGCTCAGTGAGCATGACTCTCCCACTCTCTGTATCTGACAGCAAAAGTTACCTGCGCCGCTCCACCAACACATGCGCGCAAACCTACACTTACACCTGTACAGTGTTTGTACACTGGCCCTGCTTCTTCTTCCCATTCGCTTGCTCAATTACCAAAGGCTGGCGGAGAATGGAGAACGGTGAACTGCCCACGTAGAGTCCCCCGCTTCTTACCTTACCTGTTTACCTTTCGTCTTGGCCAAAATCATCCTTCTGTTATTTTCAAGCTGCAACTATTTTCCCGTTAATCACACTGTTTAAATAACACTTTTCGGAATGGACTGAGATACAGATACACAGAGCAAATGCAACAGGCGAGCGACTAACTAACTGGCTGAAACTCAGGTAAACGCGTTTTGGTCTAAACGAGACCGAGAGAGAGGCCAGAAAGAGAGAGAGAGAGCTGGATCGCTTAACTGAGCAATTGCGCCAGAGTTACACGCGTGTCACGAACCCAAAAATATATCGATATCTCAGAATGGTGTAACTTTAATTTAATATATCTTAAAAATAAATTTATTTTACAAAAACCTTTATAATTGAGAAATTTGTCACAGAAATATATTTAATCTTTCGCACAGGGATTTTAAATAATCACCCTTAAACTATGCTTTGAAAAATAGTTATATTTTAAGAATTAAAGAGCAACTAAAAATAATCGCTGTAATAATATACCGTTAACTAATGAAAGCTTTTTGAGACCTTAAAATATCCGACAATTCAATAAAACTCCTTTAACAGTTTTTTTCAAGAGCTGGGAAACATTTAATAGATAGATTTTTGGAATATTGCACAATAGAAACATATAAAATGGCATACTGATAAAGGCAAGGACCGAAATAAGTACACAGTATCCTCACAATATAATCTCGTTCTTGAAGCTGCGACTAAGCTCCTTGTGCGGCAGTACAATGCTGTTCAGCAGGATCTTCTCGGCGGGCACCTGCACAAAGCAGCCTGAAAAATATATACATTTTAAGGGACATCCTTCAATGATTTTGAAATACTTACCCAATATGGTTATCGAGGGATTTAGCTTGCCCTCGTTGTTGAAGAGCGGCGGGTTCTCCATCTTGGCAAAGGGCTTGTTGGGATCCGGATCACTGGGTGTGCCTTCAACGCGAGCCCAAGCACCTATGGTCGAGCCCCGGCCAACAATCGAGTGCAGGACGAGTGTATGATCCTGGATTTGAGCCTGCTCCAAGACAATCGATTCTCGAATGCGCACGCCAGGTCCAATAGTGACGCCCGGACCAATGGCCACATTGGGACCCAACTGGAAGACAATGAAGAGGGATTATAAAAACTAAAAAACGATAAGGTAGTATATACCCACCACTGCGCTGTGATGAACAGTGGCACTGGGATGCACATAGACATCCGGAAGCACGGTGCATATCAAGCTACCATCGCCCTCTCCTCGCTTGGTTCCCACATTGGCCAGCCGCTCCGGGTGGGTCTTCTTGTAAAGTCCCAAGTAATGCCGATTGGCATAGATGGCCGATCCGGCGGTCTTTAGCTGCGACCACCAATTGGGCACCGGCATGGCGAACAGCTTATCCGTGCCAGCCAGCGGGGTGAGTACCTCCTGCTCCCACTTGATGTGTCCCTGCTCCCGACCATTGCCATTTCCGTTACCATTGCCATTGGAAAAGCCCTGACAGCCGTACTCCTGGCCTCTGGAGTGGAAAATCTGTGCCAGCACCGTGAATATGTCCATGGAGCAGACATACACGCCGCAGTTGATAAATGTGGACACGTAGGAGCTGGGCTTCTCCACGTAGTGGGACACTGCTCCTTTGTTCTTATCGAAAACCAGGCATCCGTAATGCAGCGACTGTTGGCGTGTCGCCTCCGTGGACATGATGGTCACCAGAGCAGTCGACGGACGATTCTCGTGGAAGTCACGAAGCTCCTGCAGCGGAAAATCTGCACAGACATCTCCATTGAGGACAAAGAAGGCCCTAGGATTGCCAGCTCTGATTTGATCACGGAAGTGGTACATGCCACCCGCCGTTCCCAGGGCCGTGAACTCCTGCAGGTACCTAAAACAAAGGGGACACGTCAGAACTACGCCCGATTTCTGCGGAAATAAACCCACCTAATGTTGATGTTGCTGCTGCTATACAGCGCCTGCATGTCGCCCACAAAGCCCTCCATCTGGGTCTGCGGATAGTAGCCGATGATGAGAATCTCGCGCAGATCCGGCAGCTGGGCGCAGGCCTCTATGTGGTGGGCAATAAGCGGGCGCCCGGCCAGTGGGAAGAGCGGCTTGGGCGTGTCCAGGGACAGCGGGCGGAAGCGAGTGCCCTTCTGAGGACCGCCGATCAGGATCACGGCCTTCAGCATGGTGTGCGATGTGTGCGTGCAGCGGCAGGTGACTAAGGCAGATCAATCAATTCGTGGAAAAATCGGCGAGTTCGTTGGTATTATCTATTTTCTGTTTACGTTGCCAGCTAGAATATCTCCCAACAGCTGATTGCAATTCAAGAACGTTGGCAGCACTGGCCAGCTAGAAGGCACCCCCTGCTCCAATTGGAAAAAAAGAGCCGTTAGCTTTACCAACACTGAACAACCAGCCCCAGATTTAGAACAATTCGATTTTAATCTATTTATACAACAAAAACCATTTAATAAATGTCTTTAAATACACGATTAGAACAAACGCAAAGCACTGAATCTATATATATAGTGGTTTACAGCTGGGAATTACGATGGAAAGCAATACTCTGACGGTTGCAGCAATACGATGAACCAGTACGGGGGCACCCTCTTCTCCAAAAACAACTCCTCTCCTGGCGATTAACGCACCATATCCTCTGGGTTGAACATGCCGCGGGCACGACGCAGAATCGAGTCCTTGCTGGCGTCATACGGATGGTCCTTGGAGGGAATCTCCAGCACAGCGGGCACCGGAGACGTGTGTGCGTCGATCACGTGACGGATGAGCTCCGCGCAGTTCTGGTTGATCAGGATGATGTCGATGTCGTCCCGCTTGAGGAAGCGCTTGAAACAGTCCTCCAGCTCGCTGACGGCGGTGTTCTTGTCCACCACCATGAAGTTGGGGTGACGGTTCTTGTTGATCTCGCCCACGCCGCCCAGCAGGAAGCCCACGCAGGTGTCCTCGTCGCCGATCACGCTGATCAGTTTTCCCTTGATTGCCGAATGCAGAGCCATGTTTTCCTGGGGTTTTCTTGGTTTTTTACGGAGAAGCGATGTGAATAAAAAACTCTGCAAACTTTGGAAAATGTTCGGTCAGCTGGTGTCTATCACATGACCCCGCGAGTAGTGTTACCAAAAGAAATCAAGAAATTGTGACAAAAAAGGGGGATTCTAGAATTCATTGCAGCTGTTCACACTAAAATAGTAATGTAATGTTGTTAAAGGTAATGAAACTGGTTTGCGTCTGTGCTTTTCCAATTAGAAATGCCTCTGAGCTTAGCGTTGCCAGACTGTTTGATAGTAAGCGCGCAATTTAAAAACGTCTTATCATTGCGGAATGTATAAATCGCACTAAAAATAAAATATTACAATGAAGTATTTTAATTTTATAAATATATAATAATTTAACATTTATTATGGCGTTACTCCATGGCCATCGCAGTCAGCAATCTCAGCCAATAGTTCCTTAATCACCTTATCCGTTAAGTCTACGTACGCTTGGAGGGGCCTCACTCTATCCTCGGGTGGCACAGCCTCCTCCTCAGGCACCGAAAGCCCAATTTTCAGGGTTGGGAAGTTGCAAAATTTGCACAGAAACATCAATTCGGAGAAATAGCATTGCGAGCAGCAGTCGTAATCCGAGAATTCATTTTCACAATTGCGATTACGGTGGTTATTCAAGGCGCCAGAGTCATTATTGGTGTTATTGTGATTGTTGAATAAATCAGTGTTATTGATATTAAACAACGTTAGTGGAGAAACCCCGCGATTGCGCCTCAGATGATCTGACCGGCCCGGGACCCAACGTCGTGTATTGAGTCGCGGCCAATGACGAGTAGCTCTTGGCAACATATCCTCTTGTTCTTCCGGTATCCGTAGCATCCGCCGCCTGTTACGGGCTGATGAGCGTGACCGTGAATGTGACTCTCGATCCCACTGGTCAGAAGGCATTGTTTCGAGATCACTCCTTGGCCTGCAGATCCTTGATAGTAGTGAATGGGCAGTACTTGCTTAAAATATGTCCCTATTATTAAGGATAATTATAATAATGGGCATTTGATTTCCAGATTCAATTATATTAGACTTACTTAAAGTATAGTCTTTGGCGGCTTTTGATAATACAGGTCCCAGTGCTGATTTTTTTCAGTTTTCCACCGACAAGATAAGATGCAGGTTTTTTGACATCTGATATGATTTGAATGAAGTCAAGGAGTGCTTGGATCAAACTGAAAAAAGGTATTCATCTACATGATACAAGTATAATATAATATTATGTTATAATATAATTACACAATTTTTATTTTTCATTTTCCATTATTTCGGCGGAATACTTTTGAAAAGGCTTTTAAGTTGATGATCCAGAGTTGCCACTTTTTCCGCCTTGCCCTAAGAATCGATACATCGATAGTTCTTCCGATGAATAAGCCCGTGTCTATAAAATAAATTAATTTCCCCAAAAAAGCCTAATTATAAAATCAAAACTACAATAAAAAGCACCAAAAGAGTTTAAATATATCAGAAAGTATAAAATAAAATCCATATTCAACTATTTGGCAAAAATATCTCAACATAAATATAAAGTGCCTTAATCGATATACCGACCATTAGTCACATTTTCACATCCCTAACAAGAATCAGCCGCAGAAATTTGCCAATAATTTTCGCCTAGAGAAGGCGTCGTGTGATGGCAACGGCAATGGCAACGGGAGCGGCAGCAGCAGCTGCAGGAGGAGCAGGAGCGTCGGTGGAGCAGCTGGTGGCCCAGACCCTGCAGGCGGCCACCAATCCGAGCCACGAGATCGTCCAGAAGGCGGAGGCGCAGCTGCGCGAGTGGGAGCAGCAGCCGGGCTTCTTTCCCACGATAGCCAGGCTGAGCATGCGACGGACCGGCTGCTCCGGCGGAGCTGAGAACACGCAGGACTCCGAGGTCAAGGTGCGCTGGATGGCGGCGGTCTATCTGAAGAACGGCGTGGAGCGCTACTGGCGACCCAACTCGCGTCAGGAGCTGCCCGCCGAGCAGAAGCAGCAGATCCGGGAGGTGTTGCTGCGGCACTACGACGCCGAGGAAGTGCCCCAGGTGGCGCTCCAGATAGCCGTGCTTCTGGGGCGGCTGGCACGCACGGACTATCCACGCTTCTGGCCGGAGCTGCTGCCCACGCTAATGAAGCAGCTGCAGGCATGCAGCGCGGACAGAGAGGCGGCCCTACAGCAGCGCATACTCCTGGTGCTGCACTACGTCCTCAAGGCACTCGCCTCGCGCCGCCTGATGGCCGAGCAGCGTTACTTTGAGGAGCTGGGCTCGCAGATCTTCGGCTACCTGGCCTGGGAAATCTGGGCCCCGCTTACGGGCCGCTTTTTCGAACTGGTCCGCAAGGATGAGGCCTTGGCCTTGAGTGCTCTGCAGCGTGCCTATGTGGTGATGCGTTCCCTGCGCAAGCTGGTGGTCTACGGCTGTAGCAAGCCCTACAAGTCCACGGATCACATGAACTTTGTGGAGCAGCTGTTCCAGCGACTACGCCAGTGCCTGGAGCTGCGGTACGAGCTGAGGATGGGCTCCAACACGCCCGGAACCGCTGCGATACTCACTGAACTGGAGCGCTTTGTGCTCAAGATGATGAAGACTCTCAACGAACTGATGGACCGCCATTCGGTCTCCTTTGCGAGATTTGTACCCGTGGCCTTGGAGTTTAGTTTCCACTATGTGTTCCACGAGGGCACAGCCCTCATATTCGATGCCGGCGACCGCATCAACTTTGGCAACTTCGCCATCCAGGCGCTGAACATGCTGAAGGGAATCATGCTGAGCGGCAACGACACCATCAGTGCCTCGCCCGAGGGAGCGGCGGGTGCATCCATCGAGGACGAGCTGCTGGCGGGCGCCGCTCAGAGTCATGCCAAGTTCTTTACGGTCGAGAGGATCACGTACATCTGCGAAAAGATCGTGACGCATTACTTCCTGCTCACGCAGCAGGAGCTGGAGGAGTGGCAGCAGGATCCGGAGGGCTACGATCAGGATGACGGCGGTGGCGATGCCTGGAAGTATGCTTTGAGGCCCAGCGTGGAGACCTTGTACTTCACCTGCTTTACCCAGCACTCGGCTGTGATGATCCAGGAGGTCCTCCGCTTCGTGAGACGCGCCCAGCAGCTGCAACTCACCCCGGAATCTGATCTGAAGGCCATTCTGCTGAAGGACGCCATCTACAATGCCGTGGGACAGGCGGCCTTCCACTTCTTCAACAAGTTGGACTTTGGCGCCTGGCTCACCTCGCAGCTGCTGGCGGAGTTGCGGGTGGAGGCGCCCAATTTCCGTATCCTGCGGCGTCGCATCATCTGGTTGGTGGGCCACTGGGTGGGCGTTCAGCTGCCCCGAGAGCTGCGTCCACTGGCCTACGAGGCCTGTCTGCATCTCCTAAGGCCGCAGGAGGATATGCCCACAAGACTGGCCGCCGCCAGAACACTGAATCTGCTAATTGACGACTTTGAATTCATGCCGGAAGCCTTTCACCCGTACTTCCCGTCCCTCTTCGAGGCTCTATTCCTGCTGCTCCACGAGGCCGGCGAGTGCGACACCAAGATAGTGGTGCTGGGCACCATGACGCTGCTCGTGGAGAAGATGAGCGAGTATATCGAGCCTCAGGCCCTGCAGTTCATTGCCTATCTGCCTTTGCTGTGGCGCGAGAGCGAGGAGTATGACCTGCTACGCTGCGCTATCATTGGCACCCTGGAGCAGCTGGTGCGTACGATCCGGGATGTCCCAGAGCCCATGAAGCCCTTCCTCTACAGTGTCATCGAGCTGAGCACAGACCTTCAGGTGAGCTTTGTTGAGAAGTTTAAACAAATGATAGAGGGGTATCTAGATTTTGTTATTTTCTTTGATTTTTGTGTCCCATTTCAATTCCCGTTAAGAAGTATACCCTTACGTATCCACTCCGTAAAGGCCATGACATCTGTATAGACACCTGGGCCACGGCACAAGTAGTGGCCGTAGCTCACAATACCAAACTGAACCGTACGCCTGATGTAACCATTGAACAGCATTTGCACTAGGGGTCCCCCAGAGTCACCTTCGCAGGTGTCGGCATGGTTGTGACCGGCACAGAACTGTCCCCATGTCAAGGAGGTGCGCAGGACGCTATTGCACTCGCTTGAGTTGAGCTTCCTTAGGGTGGCCACTTGCAGAACTGTGGCAATTGTATTGATATCGGTTTTGCCCCAACCGGTGGCCACAAAGGTGGGATTGTAGGCAGCTCGGGCGGGATTCAGCAAGATGCAGACTGGCCGAATGTGTACTGGAAGAGAGAGGGAGTGAGGGTTTATTCAAGAGGGTTTATATCATACTTTCATAGCTAACTGTCCCGGCCAGCTTGAGCAATCCTATGTCGTGGCTGCTTCCCAGTTGGTAGCTGTAGTTGGCGTGTATAATGGCCCTGGATACATCGTACTCCTTGTACTTTGGAATACAACCATCCCGCGTGCAATCTATCTCAGTTTTGGTATCGTATTCCCCCAGGCGAACCTTTCTGTTTGGGATTTTTAGAATGTTTCATTGGGAAATTCCAAAGAAATTGCTTTATACCCACAGATTATTTGCAATGCAGTGAGCCGCGGTCAAGATATATTCTAAAAAAAAAAGCATTTATAAGCTGAAGTTAAGAATCTTCTATCTCTAAAATACAAACTTCTGGTGATGAGTGTGCCTCCGCAATGAAAAGCCGAGTTATAAATCAAATATGCCATCCAGGGACTAGAACCAATGATAGCATTTCGTCCTCCATAAACTCTAGACTGCGGCGGGAGTGGAACCGTGTAGCCGCAATTATTGTCCAGGAACTGGCCCAAGGAGTACTTGGATAGCCATGTTAGACATGTATAAATGGCAAAACAACCTGCTATTATCTTCATTGCGAGTCTCTTTTTATACTGGTCGTTGTCTCTGTTGTTGGTTTTAATTTAAAAAAAATAAAAATCTATATGCGAAGCTGGTCTTATCTGTTTTGAGCATTGAAAAATTTATGACCCACCCATACACTTACTTTAAGGTTAATTGGGTGCAAAAATGGGTCACTTAAAAAAATTGTGGTGGTAAAAGTTAGCTTATTAAATTAAACAATATTTTGTTACATTTAGTATTGAAAAATATTTAGAGGTCGTATCCTTAATGCTAAATGATCTCTCATTTTGCAGCAACACTCGCACGTCTACCTCATCGAGGACGGGATCATGCTCTGGCTGGCTGTAATCGGAAACTCGACTGCTCTGACCCCTGAGCTGCTTAAGCTGTGCGACCACCTGCTGCCCATCATTGAGATGTCCTCGGAGAATCTTCGCACTGTCCTTCAGTTGATCCACGCCTACATCCTGCTGGACGCCCAAGCCTACTTGAGTCGCTATGGCGAGGGCTTTGTGTCCTATTGCGTGCGCTCCTTTGAGGATATCCGGGTGGAGGGCATCATCGCCATGCTAAGAATCTTCGAGACTTGTCTGAAAACGGACGCCACAATGGGCCTGCGGCTGGTGCGTCCGGCCTTGCCGTTCGTCTTCCAGCAGGTGTACATCAAGCAGGAATACCCCATGACCATGGGCTGGTACCTGACCATTGTGGCGCGCACCCTGCTCATCGACCAGGCCGTGTTCATGTCCGTGGTGCAGGAGTTGCCGCAGGCGGATGCCCTGGCTCGCATCCTGGACGTGTGGATCGAGATGTTTCCCATGGTTCCAGACACACACGCTGAGAAGCGTAAGCTCTTCTGTCTGGCCTTCGCCTCCATCTTTGGTAGCAACGAGCTACTGCTCGCCCGCCTGCCCCACATCCTTCAGTTGGTGGACGAGACTCTGGGCGAGGTGATGGACAAGCAGTATGCCGCTGTGGAAGAGGGTGCCACCAAGACCACGCCCCGGTACTACGACTCCCTGGTCATCCACGATGAGCACGAGCTGGACGAGCTTCAGCAGCAGCTGGGCAGCGAAGACTTCCATGCCAAGGGCTATCCGGCAAAGACCTACCACGATGACCGGCACCGTCAGTTGGTGCTCAAGGACCCCGTCTACAAGATCCCCCTAACGGAGTACCTCAAGTATCAGCTGCAGTCGCTGCAGGCGCAGCTGGGTGCCCAGCGCTACGAGCAGCTCCTGTGCTCGGTGGTCCCCGAGGTTCTGGAACGGATCACCATGTACATAGAGCAGACGGTGCCAAAGGCGTGCGTGGTGTGTCCGGGCTCTGGGCCCGGCTCAGGATCGGAGACGACTGCGGACGAGACGCTAACCGAGCAGATCGAGTCCGGCTGATCCCGAACTGCTGTGCTTCAAAAGCTTTCTACGCTAAGTTATTTTGTATTGAAATTATATATTTTTAATTGTTAAATGGGGTTTTTGTTTCGGCGGCTAGTCGACCGCCGGCCTCCGTTCCATTTTCCCCCGGAGGAGCGTTCGTATGGTTTCCTCCTTCTGCTGCAGCTTGTGCCGCATCTTGTCCAGCTCCTCGGCGTTGCGGGAATGCAGGCCGCGCAGCTGCGACTCCTTGTGCTGGACGAGCACCTCCAAGCGGCGCACCGCCTCGTAGGTGTCTCTCACCTCCGCCTGGCCGGCCTCTAGCTTCTGGGCCCACTGCAGGGCCATCCTCAGGCGGGCCTTCAGGCGATCCCTTCCGTGTTTCGCCTTTTCCGTGCTGCGGACAAGAGAGGCCGCTCTTGCGGTGGTGGCTTGCAGTTGTTCCTGCAGGGCAGTTCGCTCTCGGGCATGCTCCTGCCGTAGCTGCTCTAAGAGAGCTTTGCACTGGTGAACAGCCTCCGATTCAGCGGGGGGTGGAGGAGCAGGAGTGGGAGCAGCAACCGGAGCAGGAGCTGCCGCAGTCGTTTGAGTACTCTTCAGGGCGGCCAGCTCCGATTTGGTGCGTGCATAGGCCGCCTGCAGGTGATCCATGTCCAGGAGCAGCGTCTGCATGCGCTGCTCGTAGCAGTGCATGACCTCCACCAGCTTCTCCTTGGCCAAGTCCGTCTTGCGGGTCTGAGCCTCTGCCTTGGAGCGACACACGCCCAACTGGGCCTGAAGACACACACGCTCCTCCCGCCAGCCGCCCAGATCACGGCGCAGCTGCTCTTGTGTTTGAAGCTGGAGGGGATTAGGTTCGATTAAGAGGGATTCAAAGAGAGTATAATATGGCCTATACTCACCAGCTTGGTGTTGTCCTCCAGAGCTCGCTTTAGCTCCCCAGTAAAGTGCTCGAATTCGGTACTAAATTGGGTCAACAGTGCATCCTTGTCCCTCAGAGACTCATCGTAGGCCTGCAGGAGAGGCCCCAGCGTGTGAGTGGGCAGTGGCGGGCAGGATGTGGTGGCTCCAGCTGAGCCTCCGGCAACAGGAGCCTCATCATTGTGGCGCCTCTGGTCCTGATAGTTTTCGATTTGTACATTCAGTCGAAAGACAAGCGTCTTGAGCATGTCCACATCGCTGGCCAGGGAACGATTCTGGCCAAGAACTGTGTCGAGGCGCTGGCCTAGCTGCTGACAACGCGAGCAGTTGGCCACCTGCTGCTCTGCCTCTGCCAGACGGCGCTCCAACTGACCGCTGTCCAGCCGCAGTTGCTCATTTTCCTTGGCAAACTCATCGTTGTAGCGATGCAGCATGGACAGCCGCTGAACAAGTTGCTCCAACTGCTGCTCCTTGGCCTGTAACTGATAATTCGAAATTGGGAGATATTGTGGAATAGGCGGGCTAAATCCTTGGACTTACTAAAGTATTGAAAGAACGGTCCTTTCTACGATCCTTGTTGCCATTTCTCAGCGTCTCCTGGCGCTGCTTCACCTCCACTTCCACGCTGCGAGAACGGCGATTAAAGTTCCCGGAGAGCGTCTGCAGCACCTTCCGGTTACGTTTGGGTGGCTCAGGATCCGGCTGATCCAAGTCCGTGATCATCACATTCCTCGTGCTCATTTTGGTTAATAAACTCGCTTCCAATCCTGACACTTTCTGCCCGGACTGCTGCTTGTAAACAAAAACGAATAACCACACCCGCCCGAGTCCCACCGTGTCCTGGCCACGTTACCATGGCCACCATGCGGGTGTTTGACCCTGTTTTCGACCAGGCTGACAGCCACCCCCATCCGGGTGAATGTAGGGGTGTGGGTAAACCCTCCCCCTTTGGAGGAACCAGTATCGATACTGACTATGGTTAACCATTACTCACTCAAGAGGCTTAAAATAAGTGGTTTAAATATTTATTTTGTGACACACATTATATATATAACCATGTGGTTTATGTATAAATACTCAATCAACTAAGATTAGTACCAGCTTCTCCCAGAGAAAAGCCGATCAAGAGAGAGAGATAGTACCACCTTATCCCAGCGTTCGAATCACTCTCTGAATCCAGCTGATATAGTTAGGCACATAGGTGTACACTCCGGGGCTTTGGCACATGTCATCACCAAAGCTGACTATGCCCAGCTGCAGGTACCGATTCACTCCGTCTACATTGACTTGTACAACCAGCGGGCCGCCAGAGTCACCGGAGCAGGTGTCCGATTGCTGAAGCCCAAGACACACCTGATTGTTGGTGAGCTGCACGTTCAGCTTCTGCGAGCAGTGGGAGTTTGGGTACAGATCCAGCTTCGTGGTTTGAAGGATACTGGACGAAGGCCCCCTATGGGTCTGTCCCCAGCCAAAGGCTTGCCACTGGTTCCTGTTGGGCGCATGTGCCGGATTTAGAAGCAGGCAGATGGGCATAATGTGAGCTTAGGTAAGGGAATAGTGGATTTCAGAGAGGTATAAATAGAAGATTTGTGATCAAATGGAAGAACAAAAGGAATATGAAGCATAGAAGATAAGTAACGTAACAAATTCATTGGCTTGACTTACAATTGAATTGAATATCGCTAGACAGCCTAATCAAAGCAATGTCGTTGGTAAAATCCCGGGCCACGTAGAGTCTGTTTCTAGAAACCGCTGCGATAGGGATGTCCTGATGTGGGGGAATGCAAAGTTTGCCCACGCAGTCGGGATTCGTATTGGTATTGTACTCGCCCAGGCGCACAGTGCTGAATAGCAGAATTTATAATAATGAAAAAAAATATTCTTTTTAAAATAAATAACATCATGTTACTTACAGGCCGGGTTCAACGCAATGGGCAGCAGTCAAGATGTATCCTAAAAGTTTATAAAATTAGCAAATTAATCAAACTAAACATTCTAGTCAAACTACGAACTTTGAGTGATGATTGTCCCGCCACAGTGGAGCATTCCGTTTTTCATTAAATACGCCATGAATGGTGCCGATCCAATTGTTGCGTCTCTTCCATGCATAATCCTGGCTCCTACCTTGGCAGGATAGGAAAGTCCGCACATGGGGTTCAAAAAGTATTGTTGCCCCCGCACTTCCTGTAGCTGGAGGAGGTTTAGGCTACAGGCTGCCACAACCAACCACAACCAATTCGTGAAGGTCCTCATGCCGACGGAGGCGTCTTGTCAACTGAATCCATTGCAGCTACTTTCGCTTAGTATAATTCGCTCTGAGCTCTCTTATCATCCGTGGAATGCACTGTTTTAATTTGATTTCTTTGGAAATAAGAGCGCGATTGTTGACCTCGATTAGCTGCGATCCCGAACCTGTACGTTATCAGTGTAAACAAACCCCTGATTTTTCTGAGAATTAACAATAAAAGTTTTTTTTAGCAACATCAACAAATTATAAATTAAAACAAATTAAATATATTAAATATATAACAATAACATTCTGTACAATACCACGGTCTACATTTTAATGCCTTTCTTTAGTTTATGATTTTCACATCTTAAATAGTTGGATATATCTTTCTTTGTTTTATTGTTTATGGTAACTTTATATATTTTTTTAAGTTTTTGTAATTTTATAATTTTGTATTTTTATTCTATTTTATCATTTGAATGTTGTAACCCCTTAAGTAAGCAACATTTTTCTGCCGTACATGGCTAGATTAAATCGCCTGTTGTCGGAAATGACACCATCTTGCTAACTGACTATAATTATTATAAAAGATTATTATTTAGGGTATAAAAAGGAGTTAGGAATAAAGAGCAGAGATCGTAAAAGGGGTGCCTTTTCGAAGTTTTCTTTATATATTTTTATATAACCCAATAATTAAATCTTTGAATATCCTAAGAACCTTTCTGTTAATCCACAAATTCAACTGTTAATTAATTTTAATATTTATATTCATACAGATATAATATACATAAACATTTTTAAAGGTTCCCAAGGTAGTGCTGCTTCTACCAGGTTGCCGGCCATGACGTGTAAAATGTATAGCTTTGACGACGATGGCTACTCTGGGCCGCCGGAGGACTCCATTTCGGTGCTTGAGTTCGCCTATGCGGTGCCCTATTCGGTCTATTATGTGTCCGAGCTTGCCGTGCTATGGGCTGACCGTCACCGTAGTTTCGCACCACCTGGAGAATCCAGTTCGCGTGGCTCAAAACGTCAGTGAAAACGCTGGCATAGGCGCACTGCCGGTTCGTGTAGCTGGCAATGCCGATCTGAACGAAACGCATTTTGTCTCCGATTCGAACCATTGCACCCACTGGCCCACCAGAATCGCCATTGCACAGATTGCTTTCCAAGTTGCCGGCACAGAATTGATTGCTCGCAAGGGGAGGACTGTTGATATATTCGGAGCAGATCTCAGGATCCTGGCGTTGGATATTCAGGGTCATCAGGTGATCGCTGTCGGGCTCATTGTGGGTCCTGCCCCATCCAGTTCCGACTAGGGGATTAAGGTTATCAATGAAGTTCCTCCACCTGGGGTTCAGGACGATGCAGATGGGCCTTATGTTGTCTGGGCAGGGTAGAAATATATATGTATATTTTTTGATACCTTTTAAAAATTGAAGTTCACCTACCTTTGTAGACCACAGGTGTAATCATCCGTAGAATGGCAATATCATTGGACTGCGTTGACTTATCATAGAGTCTATTCCTAAAGCCAGCATCCACATAGTGCTCCTCTCTCATTGTGCAGTAGGGTCCTGCCGCGGTATTGTGGCACTTGTCGTCCTGGCTCCTTTGATACTCTCCCAGACGGGCAACCCTTTAAGGAGTCACAATAAATATAGGAAATGAATATACTTATATCTGGAAGGAAGATACTTACAGGTGTGTGCCTGGCAGAAAACAATGAGCTGCCGTCAGAACCAGTCCTGAAAAAGATAAAGAAAATAAGTCAGATTAGATTATATTAATAAAAAACCTATAAGAAGGATCAATACGAACGGGGAGTGATTAAGGTTCCGCCGCAAACAAAACGATCGTCGGTCGAGTGAAGAAACACCATCCAGGGGCTAGAGGTCAATCCAGCGATGTTGCCTCGAATCACCTTGGAGGCCACCGAGCCAGCTCGAATCCCGCATGCTGCGTCCAGCAGCTGGCCAGATCCTGGCTGAGGCACGAGGAGAAACAGGAGCCACAGCCGAGCGAGCAACAATGCGCTTCCAATGGCAGTGGTATTCATCACGCAAATGTCCGATAATCTGCCGAGGGTCTGGTATTAATAACCGGCTTATCAGTACCTCTCGATGGGTCAGATGTTAATTTGCATTGTTCTGGTGTTCGGACGAAGAGCAGTCGCAGTCTCTTTTCTGGGAAATCTTTATGCTTGTAATTAAGTAGATTCAGACAAGAAAATATCAAGTTGTTGGGGTTTGCAAGATGACTTTATTTTTGTACTGAGGAATAAATAAAATGATCCTCTATCTAATCCGTTGACGACTCGGAGAGATAGATGGTCTTATAACGGTTTCGATTATTTTCAGTGGCCCTGCTGAACCCACTGCCGAACAACTCCACCGCCTTCCTGATCCAATCCACGTGGCTCAACACATCCGTAAAAACACTAGCTCTGAGACAGTTTGTATTCGTATAACTGGCAATGCCGACCTGCATGAAGCGTTTCGTTTTGTCCCATGAATTAACTAATTTTCCCACTGGACCACCGGAGTCGCCGAAGCATAGATTGCTGTTATTATTTCCGGCACAGAATTGATTGGTCACAAGGACACTGTTGGTCACTTTGTTGCAGACATTCCGAGGCTGGCGATGTATTTCCAAGGTCCTCAGATAATCGCTGTCACTGCCGCTCTCGTCCGTGCCCCAGCCAGTAGCGGTTAGAACTTGGAAACTGTCGATGAAATTCCTCCAGTCTTTCCTCATCACAATACAAATGGGTCGAATGTTATCTAGAAATATGCATGTGGTAAGTGTTATCCCTTTTTTAATAAGAGGCACGCTCTAACCTTTGTAGGCTATGTAGCGGGCCAGTCGGAGAATGGCAATGTCGTTGTCCTGGGTTATCGGATTGTAGCGGCTGTGCTTGATGCCCAAGTCCACGGGTACCTCGTCTCGGTCGGTGCAGTAGTGCGTCTTCATTGCTGTGTTGTAGCATCGTGAATACTTTGTTCTCTGGTATTCCCCCAGGCGTGCAACGCTGCAATGGAAGAATTATAAAGTAATTTCATGGTCAGAAGCTTAGAAAAAGTTAGACTTAATGAATGATAGATCGGCAAAGATATCACTCAATATTATATCGAAAATATAGTTTGATTTATCAAAATTGCAAATATCGAAATATATCGGATTTACTTTTACTTTTTTCCGATTGTACTATTCCGATATTTTAAAAAGAAAATCGATTTATCACATGATTAAAATATCGTATTTCGACTTAGAATGTCAATATATCGTTATTTTCTAAAAATGCATATTAATTATTATCTAAACTAGTGTTTTTATTTGGTATTACTTACAGTGTTAGATTGGCAATAAAACAGTGTGCTGCCGTTAGTACCATTCCTGAAACAAAAAAATATATATCAGAAGCCGTCTGCCAACATTTTAATATACTACGAACGGTGAGTGATCAGAGTTCCGCCGCATACAAATCGTTGAGTGTCCGAGTGAACGAAAACCATCCATGGACTCGAATTAATTCCAGCCACCGAGCCATTGAAGATCCTGATAGAAGGGGCTCGAATCCCGCAGTCAGGGTCTAGATATTGCGCAGATCCAGGCTGAAGTCGAAGCAGCAAGAATAGCGGCCAGACGTAAAACGCGATTCCGGTTGCGATGGACTTCATTGCAAGACTACGCCCAAGCTCATAAGAGTTTACCGAATAATAGACGGCTTTCCAATCTAGATTTTTATTTTATTATCGATCATAAATTTTATAAATCATAAATAAAGCAAAAAATAGGATTTCTGGGAAATGAACTTAGGGTCGAAGCTTAAGTAGGAGGAATATATTTTATTATATTTTTATATAAACTCATTAATGGTTTGGTTTTCTTTGAAATTATTCAAATAAACTTTTTAATTGATGAATACTATATTTCAAAGAAATCGCTTTAGTGGTTCCAAGAAACCAAGTCCGCTGTATGAAAACAAAACATACTTAATTATATACATATGTATGTGTTGTATTTAAATTATTGAGTAAACATATGAAATCTACAATTAAATACAAAAACCATTACAAATAAAAGGCGTTAAAAGGCCATGTCCTTGGTCCTCTGTATCACTTGTTCGATCCATGGCATATGGACTATTACGTCGGTGTACACCCCAATGCCGTCGCAATTCGCACTGCCGTAACTAACCACTCCCAACTGGACATATCGCGTCTGGCCGTTGTGGGTCAAATTTTTGCCAAGCGGTCCTCCGGAGTCACCATTGCATGTGTCGCCGTAAGGGCTGCCAGCACAAAACTGATCCTCCTGGACATACCTCCAGAACTTTTGTTCACATCGTATGGAATTATAACGATTTAGGGTGACCCCCTGAAGTGATCCACGGGTCCGGTTGGTCTTGGTATCACCCCAGCCTGTGGCGATGAAATCTTTGAGGTAAGGAAGATCCGTCCACTTCCAGGGGTCCGTGATAAGGCAAATTGGTTTTATGTGCTCTGCGGAGGAGAAATCCCTTAATTTAGATCAGATTGCAATGCCAGGGCAACTACTCCACCATTGAAATTCACCAATCGCGACAAGCGGAGCAGCGCGATGTCATTGGCGCCCTTTTCTATAGCCATATCTATATCATACTCTTCCGATTTTGGAGAGCAACCGTGCACAGTGCAGCCTATCCGGGTCATAGAATCATATTCGCCAAGACGGGCTTTCCTGTTCAAATTAAATATTTATTTATTTGTGCTTTAAAAATAAAATAGTTCAAATAAAGTTGTTTACTCACAGTCCTTGCTTCACACAGTGCGCGGCAGTAAGGATGAAGCCTGTCGGGGAATATAGAAATATCAGAATTGGACGGAAAATGTTATTTTTTTACTCACGTCGATGGATGAGACTCCCGCCACATATGAATTTGGTGGACGTATGAAGAAAGGCCATCCACGGATGAGAATTTATTTGTGCGTCTGTGCCATTAAATATTCGCAGTCCATAAGGATTATCGATAAGGCCGCAGTTCGGCACCAAATATTCGGCCGAGATCGAGAGGCCCAAAATTCCGAGGGCAAGAGCTCCTTGACAAATTACTCTGGCAAAGCCCATCTTCACACCGACAGCTGTGTGAGGTAACTGAAGCCAATTCGTTGGATTAAATAGCTTATTATCAGTAGGTGCTCTTGAAACGAAACATAGATTGTCCCTGAGTAGGCCCTGATAAGACTGCCATTAGGGTTAATTCTTTGGAAAACGGTTTCACTTTTCTATAAATTAGTTTAATGAATTAAATACCTTACATTAAAACAACATATATATGTCGCAGATTATTTTGTTAATTCAAATTATAACGATTTTTGTGGGTACACACTTGTTTAATTTATTATTGCTTCTCTGTTCTTTCGTGCGAGGCATACACTGTTTTGCCAACGTAGCCTGGGCGTGGGTATGAAAGAGACGGATATTGTTTTCTGAGAACTCACCACACCTGCGTGTGTGTTGCAAGGTAAAGAGGAGTTGAAAATGAATGACACAGCGTTTTTGAGTGGCAAGCAGATTGGTTGAATAATTGAAGAATCATGCCACGCGCCAGGAAACGTTTCGCCGAAAGTCCAGTTGAGGACTCCGATGCTGGATCGTCGTCATATACAATTTTTTTTTTAAATTTTGTATTAAAAAATATGTAGAGGTCCAAAAGTTAAAAGGAATCTCCCGAGTGCCCTCCAAAAACAGCAGCTTTGCTACTTACCTTCTGTCCACAAAATGCTACAAAAAATAGTTGATAGGATAATAGTGGGACACTCTCGTGACATTCTTATTTGTACAACTTTTTCACCGTTTTTTATAAAAATTTAAAGTCAAAGTGCCGATTTTGGACTACAAAATTAAGTTAGAAAAATATAACTTTGTGATATACTCAAACATTGAACACCAAATGACCTCCGTTTAACTACGCATAACTTCGGTAGTTTTGCTGTATTCGATGTAAAACTTTGACACAATAAATCCTAATATTATTAATATTATTAAAATGATTCAATTTGATTATTAAATTTTACCAGAATTCATTGACTTAAAAAATGGTATTTCTTAGTATAGTTTAAAATAATTGAAAATGCAATGTTGTCAAGCAATCTTTCATATGTTTTAGGTTTGCTCAGATTTCTGGTTTATTATCATTAAAAATTGACCCAATAAGAACTTGGCCAGTTTTCGTTATTTATTTTTTTTTTTGCAACACTTAACGTTGACAGCCAAAAGAAAATTATCTATTATGTTTATGTATTTGATCCATTGATCTCTTATATCGCCCAGCATTTCTAAGAATTTTTCTTGTCTTCAATCAATAAAGTTTAAGGCCACGACCGTGTGTTAAGCAGTCGCGAAATGAGTGCCAGTGTAATAGGAGTCGATGTCTTGGCCAGCCTTTTGCTCCTGGTGGCCTTTCTTCAGCCGGGAGACGCCCAATTCCTTGACCCGAACTGCGGAGTTCGATCTCCTTCGATACGGATTATCAATGGGGACAACGCTACGATGACCTCGAGTCCTTGGATGGTCTTTATCCTCACGAATGATGGTTATTTCATCTGCTGCGGAACTCTGATTACTCACCGTTCGTACTAGTAGATCTGTAGATCAAAGTTGATTACACAGATTCCAAGTGGAATATAACGAAGCATTCATTCGTGAGCAGCTTAGCTTGTTATTACAATGGCTAAATTCTTTCATTCTCATTGCAGGACTTGTACTAACGGCAGCACATTGTTATCAGGAGCACAAACATTTGTAAGTGACTGAAACAACTTTTAACACTCGCTCGTAATTAATGTGTTTTTGATACCTCCCCGTAGAAAGGCTCGAATGGGGGAGTACGATAGAGACTCGAATGATACTTGTCATTATACAGTTATCGGTGACCTATACTGCACCAAGCGAGTGGAGCTCAATGTGGACAGGGGCATCGTGCACCCCAGTTTTGATTCAAAAACCATGGACAACGACATAGCCATCCTTCGGCTGGGCAGGCGAGTGGAGTATACAGGTTGGACTTGCTTCGATCTGGAAACAGGATAACTGCGTCTAACATATATTTACTTCACACAGCCAACATCAAACCCATCTGTATCGTGACGGATAAGAGTTGGAGAAACACTATAGACCAAATACCAATTCTCACCATCACTGGCTGGGGCCTTACCAAGGCCAATGGAAATACGAGCAGGATCCTACAGACCCTGGAAATCAGACGACAGTATCCGGAAGTTTGCACCCGATGGGTTCCTAAAACTCCTTCGGACAACGAGTTCTGCCTGGGAAACGTGCGGAGTTCCGCTTGCAACGGAGATTCCGGCGGTCCCGCGGGAAAACTAATTCTATATGGAAATAAATCTCGATTCATCCAGGTCGGCATTGCCAGCCTAACGAACAAACAGTGCAGATATGCCACCACCTACACTGATGTGCTCAGCCACGTGGACTGGATCCTCAGTGTGGAGAGGCAAATCGGTCATGATTACACGGAGCCCACACAAGTGTGGTCTCCGACTAATCGTGAACCAAATCGATATGTCCCTATTTTTTTCATCAAATGGCAGCATTTCACTTGGCCTTTTCTTGGCTAGACTATTCTGAAATATTTCTAAAATGTTGTTTCAAAAATTGTAGGATTTCTAGGAACATGGAATAAAGATAACATTTGAATCGAATAACATTTTACTATGATTTATGAGCCACATAAAAGGGAAACGCACAATCTTCCCAAGTAAAAGCGGTTTTTAAAATTCTAATATGGGTTCAATTTCCCCTTCTCCAATTTAATTTGATCCAAAATGCTTGACTAAATTTGTATCATGTTTTAAGAGGCGGTTCATGCGTAGTCATTTTTATTACCGCGAAATTTTATTTGGACTTCTTCGAATATAGAGATAATAAATGACCTTCCACTCTGCTCCGCCTTAGCAAAGTATATAAAGCTGATCCACGACCGATCTTTAAACAGTCCACCATGAATACCAAAGCCGTCGGAATCAAGATCTTCGCCAGCTTGCTACTCCTGGTAGCCTTTCTTCAGCCGGGAACTGGCCAGTTCCTTGACCCGAACTGCGGACTTCGATCTGCTCCGGTCTATGTTCAGTCAAGGATCATAAATGGCACCGACGCTGGGGTCACCTCGAGTCCTTGGATGGTTTTTATCCTCACGACTGATGATTACTTCATCTGCGGCGGAACTCTGATTACTCCCCGTTCGTACCAGTAGATCTCTAAATTAAAGTTGCTCTGTTTGTGAGCAGCTTAGCTGGTTGTCTCTTTGTCTTAACACTTTCAATGTCATTACAGGACTTGTATTAACGGCAGCACATTGTTATCATAAACACAGACATCTGTAAGTGACTGACAAAACCCTAAGATTTGCAAATAATTAGTGTGTTTCATCTCCGTAGAAAGGCTCGTATGGGAGAATTCAATAGAGACTGGAATGATGGCAAGTGTCTTGACTCCGTCGACGGCGCTACATATTGCAACAATCGAAAGGAGATCAGAGTGGACAACGGCGTCATGCATCCCCGTTTTAATTCCGAATCCCTAGCCAACGACATAGCGATTCTCCGGCTTGCAGAGTATGTGGAGTACACAGGTGGGAGTGGCTTTGTTCTAACATCCTGTTGTAGTGTCTCTAACATGTATTTACTCCACACAGAAAACATCAGGCCTATCTGTATCGTGCTGAATAAGAGCTGGAGAAATTTTATAGACGAAATTAACACACTCACCGTCACTGGCTGGGGCCTCACCTCTAAGAATGGATCAACAAGTCGCATACTGCAAACCCTACAAATCAAGCGACGACCCTCGAAAGATTGCACCTGGTACATTGGTAGGAGTCCTTTCCACAATGAGTTCTGCATGGGAAACGAGCAGAGCAGTGTTTGTAACGGCGATTCCGGCGGTCCCGTGGGGAAAATGATTTGGTACAATGGCTTCCGGCGCTTTGTCCAGGTGGGCGTTGCCAGCCTGACGAACAGACAGTGTTCTAAGGCCAGCATTTCCACCGATGTGCTCAGCCACGTGGACTGGATCCTCAGTGTACAGAGGCAAATCGGCCTTGGGTACAGGCAGCCTACATCAGTGTGGTCTTCAACTATTCGTAAAAAAAACCGTCATGTCTCTGGTTATATCATCAAATGGCGGCGTGTTGCTTTGCCTGTGTATGGCTAGATTACTCGGACCCTTTTGAAATTTTGATTAAAATATTGCGGGATTCCTAGGAAAAGGGAATAAGTTAGTAAAATTGTTTTTGTAACTTGAGAGCTTGATAAAATATACGTACAAGGGAAAGCTAAAGCAGTTTGGTGAAATACTAAAATGACACAGTGGTTAGGCTTCTAGTTGTTGTATTGTTACAAAATGTTAGTCATCAATTTATAATACACAAAAAATAATAAATCTATCAAATTAATTGCAAAAACCTGAAACGTTAAAATTAAGTTTAAATATTCGAAATGGGACATACCTAACGAACGTTTTATCACTTTGAAATGCAATTGTGGCGAAAAGCTATTAAAAGTTCGCAGCGTAGATAGTATATTTTTAATGAGTTCCGTTAAATTTATTGACAAACCCACACTACTTTTCTCAAATTCTTCATGAGCGTTGTGCATGGGTTGAATTTTCTATTTTTATATTTAATTTGAACCGGCATGCGGGACTATATTTTGCTCATGTTTTTAGAGGCGGTTCATGCGTAGTGGTCTCTCTTACAGTGAATATTTTTTTGGATTTCTTCGAATATAGTGATAATAAATGAGCTTCAGGCGCTTCTTCCTCCCTCCTCCGTCTCCGAAAAGTATATAAAGCTGACCCACGACCGATCTTTAAACAGTCCGCCATGAATACCAGTGCCATCGGAATTAAGATCTTCGCCAGCTTGCTACTCCTGGTAGCCTTTCTTCAGCCGGGAGATGCCCAATTCCTTGACCCGGACTGCGGAGTTCGATCTCCTCTGGTTACGACACGGATTGTCAATGGGGACAACGCTATGATCACCTCGAGTCCTTGGATGGTCTTTATCCTCACGATTAATAATTATTTCATCTGTGGCGGAACTCTAATTACTCACCGTACGTACTAGTAGATCTTTAGGTAAAATCTGCTTACACAGATTCCAATTGAAATATATCGAAGCATTCATTCGTGAGCAGCATAGCTTGTTATTGCTTTGGCTAAATTCTTTCATTCTCATTGCAGGACTTGTACTAACGGCAGCACATTGTTATCAGGAGCACAAACATCTGTAAGTGACTGAAACAACTTTTAACACTCGCTTGTAATTAAGCTGTTTTTTATACCCTCCCGTAGTAAGGCTCGAGTGGGGGAGTACGATAGAGTCTCGAATGATACTTGTCATAATACCGTTGACTGCACCATGCGAGTGGAGCTTGATGTGGACATGGGAATCGTGCACCCCAGTTTTGATTCAGAAACCCTGGACAACGACATAGCCATCCTTCGGCTGGTCAGGCGAGTGGAGTACTCAGGTTGGACTTGCTTCGATCTGGAAACAGGATAAATGCCTCTAACATATATTTACTTCACACAGCCAACATCAAGCCCATCTGTATCGTGACGGATAAGAGTTGGAGAAACTCTATAGACCAAATACCAATTCTCACCATTACTGGGTGGGGCCGTACCGAGGCCCATGGAAGAACAAGCAGGATCCTTCAGACCCTGGAAATCAGACGACAGCTTCCGGAAGTTTGCACCCGATGGGTTCTTAAGACCCCTTCGGACAACGAGTTCTGCCTGGGAAACGTGGACAGTGGCGCTTGCAACGGAGATTTCGGCGGTCCCGCGGGAAAACTAATTTCGTACAGGAGAAAACTTCGATTCATCCAGATCGGCATTGCCAGCCTATCGAACAGCCAGTGCAAATATGCCAGCATCTACACCGATGTGCTCAGCCACGTGGACTGGATCCTCAGTGTGGAGAGGCAAATCGGCCAAATTGGCTAGACTTTTCTGACCTTTCTGAAATGTTGCTTCAAAAATTGTAGGATTTCTATGAAAATGGAATAAAGATAACATTTAAATGAAATAACATTTTATTATGATTTATGAGCCACATACAAGGGAAACGCACAATCTTCCCAAGTAAAAGCGGTTTTTAAAATTCTAATATGGGTTCAATTTCCCCCTCTCCTATTTAATTTAATCCAAAATGCTTGACTAAAATTGTATCATGTTTTAAGAGGCGGTTCATGCGTAGTGATTTTTATTACCGCGAATATTTTTTTTTTATTTCTTCGAATATAGAGATAATAAATGAGCCTCTCTGCTCCGCCTTAACAAAGTATATAAAGCTGATCCACGACCGATCTTTAAACAGTCCGCCATGAACACCAAAGCCGTCGGAATCAAGATCTTCGCCAGCTTGCAACTCCTGGTAGCCTTTCTTCAGCCGGGAACTGCCCAGTTTCTTGACCCGAACTGCGGAGTTCGATCTCCTTCGATACGGATTATCAATGGGGACAACGCTACGATGACCTCGAGTCCTTGGATGGTCTTTATCCTCACGAATGATGGTTATTTCATCTGCGGCGGAACTCTAATTACTCACCGTTCGTACTAGAAATCTGTAGATCAAAGCTGCTTACACAGATTTCAAGTGGAATATATCGAAGCATTCATTCGTAAGCAGCTTAGCTTGTTATTCAATGGCTAAATTCTTTCATTCTCATTGCAGGACTTGTACTAACGGCAGCACATTGTTTGAAGGATCACAAACATCTGTAAGTGACTGAAACAACTTTTAACACCCGCTTCTAATTAATGTGTTTTTGATTCCCTCCCGTAGAAAGGTTCGAATGGGGGAGTATAATAGAGACTTGGAGGATATGTGTCATAATACCGTTGACGGTGACCTATACTGCACCAAGCGAGTGGAGCTCGATGTGGACATGGGCATCGCGCACCCCAGCTTTGATTCAAAAACCATGGACAACGACATAGCCATCCTTCTGCTGGACAGGCGAGTGGAGTACACAGGTGGGATTTACTTCGATCTGGAAACAGGATAACTGCGTCTAACATATATTTACTCCACACAGACAACATCAAGCCCATCTGTATCGTGACGGATAAGAGATGGAGAAACACTATAGACCAAATACCAATTCTCACCATCACTGGGTGGGGCCTTACCGAGGCCCATGGAAGAACAAGCAGGATCCTCCAGACCCTGGAAATCAGTCGACTGTATCCGGAAGAGTGTACCCGATGGGTTCCTAAGACCCCTTCGGACAACGAGTTCTGCCTGGGAAACATGGACAGTGGCGCTTGCAACGGAGATTCCGGCGGTCCAGCGGGAAAACTAATTTCATACAGGAAAAAACGTCGATTCATCCAGATCGGCATTGCCAGCCTAACGAACAGCCAGTGCAAATATGCCACCACCTACACCGATGTGCTCAGCCACGTGGACTGGATCCTAGGTGTGAATGCGATGTACGGTCTGAGTACATCCCACCCACCACCATTGTACTTCAATGATGATGTTGAATGAAAAAGGAATAAATTCTGGATCAGTAAGGCTTTGAATGCCGGGTATACCAAGGGCAACGTCATTCTACAGTAGAATTTCTATTTTTTAAATAGTAATATGTTTTCAAAATAAAAATCATAAATGATTTAATTTTAAATTATTTTAATCGTTCTGTGTAAATAGGGTGACTTCGATAACAAACTGTAAAAGTTCTTGGAATTTATTTAGGTTGAGTTGAAGCTTTTTATTATCTTTATAATAACATAAAATTTCTTGAATTAAAAAAAATCTGATTTTTCAGATTTTTGTACGCGATACTCGTAGGGGAAAAAGGTATTAAAATGTTGTGTTAACTGAAATTACAAGAAATTGTCTTAAGGAGACATCTCCGTTTCCATATATCAACATTATCGGGTATAAGATATAAGATCTAAAATATTTTTATATACGGGAAATATTATCAAAGCTATAACAATGAATTCGTTAAGTAGAAAATATATTTATATATATATACATATACATATATATTTATGTTTTTATTATTATAATTAACTACTAAATTTCTATTATTATTATTTGCTTCTCCCTAATAATAAATAAATAAATAAATATTATATTATTTAAAAATACAGATAAATCATAGACATAGGAATATAATAAAATATCCACCATAATTCAATTTTATATATACTTTTTTCTCATAATTCTTTCCCAGAATCTCAAAAATAAGAAATTTCAATAAAATGCAATATTTTTTTTAAGTGTTTCCAAGAATGGTAATATAAAAGCATTTCTACGAAATATATATAGCATATTCTTATATTTTTTTCGCGTGAATCACAGGGCTGACCCCAATAACCGACCGATTCAAGACTGGCTGATAACTCAATATACAAACAGCGACTCGATGCTAAAATAACTTCAGTATATAGCCGCTGATTCGATCGCAATGTTGAGCTTCCCAAGTGTTATTGCTGTTCTTGCAAGCCTGCTGGTCCTCTATCCGGGATCGGGATCGGGATCGGCCCAGTTCCTTGATCAAAATTGCGGGAAAACGCGCAACGGACATTCCCCACAGACATTGGGTCCCTGGACGGCCCTTTTGCATAGCAACGGACGCATCGTTTGTGCCGGAACCCTGATCCATCCGAGTGTGTATTTGTCGGAGGTTTTTAAAGCCTGATCAGTATTTTATATATATATTACTTGTCTTGTTTTTTAGAATTTATCTTGACAGCGGCGAACTGCATTAAGAATGGTGAAACCCTGTAAGTATTGATTTTTTTCCTGCAAGTCGAAGTCGCATGAATAATTACGTTTGCAGAAAAGTTCGCCTTGGGGAATATGGCCGTGTGGGTGCAGAAAAGCCTGAGGAACATAGTGTGCGTTTAGATTTCCGGCATCGTCGGTACAATAACGCGACACTGGAGAACAACATTGCACTGATGATGCTGACCAGGTCGGTGCAGTACAAAGGTATATACTTTTCTTACGTAATTCGTGTTCCCCTAATCCCACTGAGAAACTCGTCCACAGCACACATTAAACCCATCTGCATAGTCTTGGACCCGTCTTCGAATTGGTTAAAGCTTGTCGAGAGCAATTTCAAGGTGTTAACCGGAGCCGCCTGGGACCAGAAGAACAAGTCGAGGTACCGGAGCGGGGATTTCCATGCCACAAACATTACGCGCTTGCCCCAAAACGAATGCCCAGCTAACCTTAAGGTTCAGGACAAGTTTCAGTTCTGTGGATGGAACCCAAAGGCGCCATCCTCCTGCGAAGGTCCTTCTGGATCGGCCTTGAGCCAGGTTATAACCAACGAGTTTGTCTATCAGATCGGCATTGCAAGCTTCAACGACGTAGACTGCGAGCACACGCGCATCTACACGGACGTGCCGCGCTATTCCGAGTGGATCTTGAAAACTGTGTACCTATACGGCGGTTCGGTGGACCAAAGAAGACACAAGCCTGTTGTTTTTCCTACTGACTCCTCGAAGACTGTGGTTGTTCCTACTGGCTCCTCGATGAGGTCGCGGCGAACACTTACGAATTCAGCGAACAAGAAGAGTGTGTTCTGGGGTAAAAAGGGACGGAACTCTAGATTCTAGACCATCTATTATTTCCAGATATCCTTAAAAAATGTACAACTTCTGAATAAAAGTTTTATTGTTTTGTAACTTTGAGTTTTACCAAAATAAACTTACTAACGTCAAGCTTGAAATATTGATCAGATGAGGAAGTAAGGATAATATAATAAAAGTAAAATATCCATATTCTCACATTTTAAATAGACTCTAAAAGGTAGTTAGATCACTCGGATTAAAGAGAAGTTATTCTCCGTCAGCCAAGAAGCCCATTAAATCCATAAACAACATCAAGATTTTTTTCCTAGAATTCCAGCATATAATTACTGATAACAGAAAACAGAATGCCTTTAAAATAAGCGAACCTTCACGAAACACGTATCAGTAGCCGAGGATGGCTTGGACCGAAATGAGGTGGGCTGTTGCTGGAATCGTGGCAGTGTTATTCGTCTGCCTGCAAGTCTCCGTTGGAGAAGATGGGTTCCAGCTCCTGGAAAGAGATTGCGGACGCTTATCAGAACCCAAGTATGGCTCGGACCTTAATGATGACATGGGACCAAGAATTATCAATGGGGTTGATGCAAAGTTTGGAGCACATCCCTGGATGGCCTATATCCGCACTCCCCTTTATTTCACCTGTGGAGGATCGCTGATCAGTCATTGTTCGTAGACATTTTTTCCTTATAACCAATAGTTAATTGGTAATCAATAGTATATACATTTCAGGGTTCGTTTTGACGGCAGCACATTGTGTAAAAGATGACCCCCTGTAAGTATACTAACTTATCATTTATAATATATAAGTTGCCCAAGATTCATGATAATAATTAATAATATTTTTCAGAATTGTTATATTAGGCGAATACAACAGAGACCAAGAGGAAGACTGCCTGGGCAACTTGTGTATGGATCCCAGCGAGGAGTATGACGTGACTCTGGCCATCAAGCACAAATTCTATGATTTAAAACAACACACCAACGACATTGCACTGCTGCGTCTTGATCGTCGGGTGACATACAAAGGTGAGTCTTCTATACAGGTCTTTAAATACAATGAATATCAATCCCCACCACCATTTTTAACAGCTCACATCCAACCCATCTGTGTATTTGTTGACTCGAAAATGAAGCCACTGGTTGACAGGGTCACATGGTTCAATGCCACCGGCTGGGGATACACCAGTCCAGGGAAAACATCTCGCGTTCTCCAAGAACTTAGACTTAACCGGAGGCCATACGAAAGCTGCGAACGGATGTTTGGCAAGCTCATGTCATCCACCCAGATTTGCTCTGGAAATGATGACAGCAACCTGTGCAACGGCGACTCTGGCGGTCCCCAGGGCCGGGAAATGGCCTACGGTGGCAGACGGGTCTACGTACAGCTGGGCATCGCCAGCTTCACCAATCGGCAGTGCGAAAACGTTAGCATACTCACCGATGTTGTTAGCCATGGCAATTGGATAAAGCGTGTGGTCCGAAGGTACAGCATTCCCGATGATGAAGCTCCGGGTAGGCCAGCACAGAGGGAGTCGCTCGAAAGAAAACCCACCTTTTATCATCCAATATAGTCAAGTTTCCGGATGGATGATACTAGGTTTCATCACTTACAATATGAATAAAGTTGCTGACTATACATATATCTGTTGATCAATTTTTCAAATTAGTTCAATTTTTCACTTGACAAGCACAAAAAATAATATTATATTTTATGTGGATGAATATATAGCATTTCTAAGAACTTGTTTGTTTGTGTTTCCCAGAAACACCATCGTTAAATTTATTTATTTCGGATTAAAAACAATTTAACAATTGAAAACGAGATAATGAAAAATAATAAAGTTAGCAGAATTTTTCTTTAATATATATATATAATAATATAATATATATATATATATATAAAATAAATAAATTTTTTGAAAATAAATAAATTTTTTTTTTAATATTATTGTATTCTAATTATTTCCAGTGTATGGCGAACTAAATCGTCAGTTGGTTGGTGTATTTGAATTTTAAAACATAGAGGTGGGAAACTAAGCTAAAGTAAGACCGCTGTAATGTAAAATTAGTCAAACGTAAAACCAGAACTAAAAGTAGTGTTCCAAAAATATTAATAAATATATTCATTCTGAGAATTTAATTCTTAACTTATTTTTGCACTTAAGCCACCCTCTTTATCTTCAATAAATCATACAACTTTATGTTCTAAAAACCAGTTACCGCAAAGTCCAGACACTTGTTTCAATAATAATAACAATATATAATTGTGGGTTTTAGCAAAGGTCGAGCTATAAAGTGTGTCAGGGAAAGAAGAGACAAATATTCGTGACGGAGCCGAGTGTCATGTTATTCTACACGTGCTGATAATAAATAAATACTGTTTCAGTAAACAAACTCGATCCCTTGACTTTGCAACTCGTTTGCGGGGAGTACTATTGCTCACTTGCTAATCGATTTTCGACGGCCACGAGCTCCGCCCGATCCCGGGCCATATAGTATTAGTATTACCAGATGTGAGTTGACTCAACGCCAGTGAGCGTATCAGCATAAAAAAATGATATATGATAAAGAACAAAGAGGGCTTGTATAGAGAAGGGTAAACAGAATGCTGTATTTTTTATATGTATTTTTTTTATTTTAAATTTTTACAAAATATATATAATTGATTAATTTTCTTCAAGGTAAACATTAGTAATGTTTTACTAATTTCTGTGTAAGGAAAATTAAAAGGAATATCTTTGGGGTGGTTTTACTTTTTAAAATAGGTTATTACTTAAGATACTTTTTATAGTAATTGGGAAAGTAATTCTGTTTTGTATTAATTGTTATAGCAAACATAATTTTATTTGTTGCACTTTATTACAATAAAACACATTTTGGCTTAATATTTGATATATGCACTTCACTAATTTAGATGCCATTTCAGATACACGATTTCTGAAGGCGATCCATTGGGGGGGGGCGCTTCCTAATTAATCCTCTTGGCGTGAAGAGAATGCGGCTTACGTTATTTTTGCAGTTAGTGCTCGATATGTCGTCGAACCGGCACCGCGTGCAAACAGGTTTTTTGGCGACGCAGCGCACTCATTGCCGAGCCACTTGGCTGCAACGGACTAGACTTAGAACTAACTCTCAGGAGAGTGTAGCTGGTGGAGTAGGAGGAGCAGTTAGCCATGCTGCATGGCGTGCCGGGGATGAATATAGTGGGAGCCGGAGTCGTCGTCATCGCGGTAAATGGCGGTCATCAGGAGCAGTAGACTGCCGAAAATAAGAGCTCTGAGAGCACTGTTCAGGGATCCAAATCCAATGGAGATCTCCATACTGATACTTTTTATTTTTTGTTCTTTATTATTATAAGCAATCTTTGCGCGTCTGACGGTAAAACGAGACTGAGCTCTCGCCGTGATGGCACCCGTAATTTATGGCAGTTCCCGACAACGTGTTTTCCCCAAGCAGGTGCTCAGATTGCGGGCTTGTCGCCAGATCGCCTCAATGGGGTAGTTTCCCAGTGGCTGGCCTGGTAAATGCCCCGATCCGTTGGCGTCATTCATGCACCACAGCACAGTGAACGATGCCACAGAAATATGGTTTCAATACTCGATGCTTATCGAGATCGAGGTATATTGGTCTTGTGCTAATTTGAGCAAAGATAAAGACGACTGGTCACTGGGTTATTTTTAAAAATATTTTGTTTGTTCTTTAAAATATTTTTCTGATTTTTAAACAAATTATTCAATACAATGGGGATCAGTTGGATTAGTTTTATTTAAAGTTAATATAAATATTTAATGGCTTTTGTATTCATATGAAACTCGTAAAATCCATGTTAATTATGGAGTATTGGTGCCTTAACATTAAGATTAAGAAATGCTTCCCTTTAAAAAATAAAATTTCTTTAAAAAAAAAGACAATCTGCATACACAAAGTTCAACTCGTTAAATTACACATTATTATACATTATTTCCTTGTAATCTTTTCTTTAAATTGTTGACACAAACTGCAAGGTATTTCTATGGTCTTGACACTCTTCTATATATATACTTTTGCTGCTCAAAATAAAATCCGTACAAAGATCGTTGACTGACTCTCTGAGCCAGGCCGTAATGGAATTCAAACAATTCATTTTGGCATCGTCTACGTGAGGCGATTGCCAAGATATTAATCCGGAGCTGCTGCGCATTTATGTTAGATCATTGCTCTGCGATCAAAGTCAGCTTAAATCTGGCACAGACTGGACTCCAGAAACCTAAAAGAATCGTTTGAAGTCGACTTTTTGTACAGAAAATAGAGCAAAACTTACCGAACATATCTTCTAAACTTGGGACTATGACAGAGTTGAGTGCAGCAGCGCCAGAGTTTTCTAGAAAATTTTCCATATAAATGAGAGATGACATTTGGATTCAAGGCCCAGTGCAGGGGAAATTCCCGCTCGATGTTCTGCAAGTGCGGCATCCTTCGACGAGGTCTCGAATCAAACTGAAGACGGCGGGAGGGTATACTCAGGTAGACCCTCAAAAAACAGCTGCCTGAATTTCCCGCCAAAAGAAAACAAAGAGGGATCAACTCTGGTTACCTACGATTCGCAATCAAAGGCACAACAAGGGAATTATTCATTGAAAAGAAAGTATTGAGAAAAATATATGTATACTATATTTATAAATGCATTACTGTATTTATGAAATTTCCGTCAAAAAGCATGAATAATTTAGTACAAAAAAACCAAAGCTTAAAGATTACACTCCTTCATCGAATGGAGCCCAGCCTTCTGTGGAATTTTAATTTGTTTTATACGAAATTATTATATGCAAAACCTATTAATAAATTCGCTTAGGAAATATTTGATATAAAAACCATTGACATATTCCCTCAGTTGCGTTCTAAGCTCCCTTGCGAAATGTCTTTCCTGTGGCGTGCGTTCCTGGCACTGTGCTTGATTGTGGTCCTTGAGTCGGGACTGGGTTCTACTTCTCCACAATACTGCACTACCTATGATGAGAAGCCAGGCAGGTGTCTTCGCTTCCAGGACTGCCCATACATCCTTAAAGTTGTAAACAAAGTAATACAGGGCAAAGCACTGACCATCAGAGAAAAAGAAATCCGTGAAAACTCATATCAACCTTGTCATAAGATCAAGAAAGTAAGTCTTAGTTAAAGAAAATTATAAATTAATGATAAAAAATATAGGGAGATTGACATTTGCATTTTCCATAGACTATTTGCTGCGCGGACCCCGTTAATCACAGGGGATTGAAGCTTCTGAAGGAAGAGGATGCGAATTGCGGAATATTTGAAGAGCTCTTGGTGATGGGTGGCGTTGAAGTCAGAATGGGATCGCGGCCCTGGATGGCTCTGCTTAAGTACGGGGGCTTTCCATACAGGGAATCCTTCAGATGCGGGGCCACCGTAATTACTCCACGTAAGTATCAGATAGTCTCAAAATCCAGAAACGAACCAATGACAATCTCTTTCAGGCTACCTCCTGACTGCCGCCCACTGCCTTAACGTGTTGCAGCCGTAGGTACTCAAAATTCTAAGGAAATTGCTCTTTTAAGTCCCCGATTTTTGCAGATATTCAGTTCGTCTGGGAGAGCATAATATCATGACACAAAAGGACTGTGCCGCTTATGGAAAGGAGGTTTTCTGCCAGCCGCGCTACCAGGATGTGGAAGTCCACAGCTTCGTCATCCACCCGGACTTCAATCCAATAACGGGACACAATGACATTGCTCTGATACGGCTGGTCAGGAAAATCGACACCTCCAGTAAGTATTTCTCCAACATCCGAGGGAGTCCAGTAACCTAGAAGCATTTCCTCAGGGTTCACGCCCATCTGTCTGCCAATTTACGACCAAGTCCAGCAGAAGATTCGCAACAGCACGGAGCAGTGGGTCACCGGCTGGGGTCTGTTCGGCAAGGAGCTATCCGATGTCCTACGAGAGGCACAAGTGAAGCGCCTGCCTCACAACTGCCGCAGTTCCTTAATAGACAGTCAGCTATGTGTCACGGCCTTAGGCAACGACAGCTGCCGGGGTGACTCCGGGGGTCCATTGGCCTATCCGTATTTCTACAAGGATTCGCAGCGAATTGTCCAGACGGGAATTGTCAGTAAGGGACCCACTCCATGCGGCAAATCAAAGTCTGCTATATACACCGATGTGACCAAATTTGTGCCATGGATAACACAGAACATAAGGGCTTAATAGCTTATTAAATCTATATAATTTAAATCCATTTCAAGTTTAATATGTGAATTGAATTATTGTGAATCTTGAAATAAAAATAATACTTGAAGCAAAAGAACCTTGAAATGAATTCAGTTGATAATGACATATTAAAAATTACTTTATTGATTTCCTAAAACTATATAAATAATTTACAAGTATTTTTAGAATTTTATATCTAAGTCAGATCGTTTGGGTCTCCACGCTTATAGCCTCCACCAACTGACTAATTCGCTGGGCACGCGTTAATTTCCAGGAAACACATGACAGGGCAGTGATAAAGAAACCAATCGCTGTGGAAAGTAACTTTAGACTGAAAATTGTACTTAACATCTTTACAATTTATGCTCACCCATCAGGAGTATGGCCTCGGAGGTTTCATCCTGCCAGGCCTTGGAAACTACACACAGCAGAATAAAGCCGCTGAGCAGGCAAAAGGATCCCACGACCACGGCCAGAGTTATGAGAATTATCACGGGATCGTTAAGAGGACCATAATCAAAGAGAGTACGGCAAAGGGAAGGCTTTCGAGGCAGATAGGTACCGCTAAGGGGTTATTAAAATATTTTAATTAATTATATATATTTTTTTGTTAATTTTTACACCATAAATAAATAATTTCAATGGCTTTCTGACAAATTCTGTTTAATTTTTCACTCGTTATTAATTGATTTAATTTATTTTTTAATTTGAAAACACTACGAACCAGGCCTGCGAGTAAGTGGGAAGTATAGGCACAGCTCTGCACTCCATGGCACTTCTTATAAGACTGAACTGAATACTGCAAACTCCAGTCTAGAGACTCCAGACTCCCCAAACTCCCGTTTCCCCTCATTATTATATTTTTGGGTGGCTGTCGGGCCTACTTCTCCACATTCTATATTTATCCAGGGAGGACGGCTGCCGATCGCAGACGCGTGACTGGAAACGGAGGCACTATCGTGGCACTATCTTCTATTTATAGCCTTGCTTAGGAAGTGCCTCGATCTAACGGAACTAAACCGAACAGATGCAGCTCAGCTGGGCTTCCCGCAGCCACAATGCAGCTATTTTTGGTCTTTATTTCCTGCGCTTGGGTTTGGGGCATTCCTTAAAAGAGTTCAATGCACTCAGACAATAAAGGAGTTGCCATTCTTAGGAGGATTTGAAGTAGGAATTGAAATTGGAATCGGAAGGGAACTCCGGGTACCTGGTAATGTTATAAATCAACTTCATTACTGGCTTGGCTTGGCTGGCGAACAAGTGCGAATCATTAACTCGATGTCTTGAAGTTCACGTTTCGCATGTGCCAAGGTAGCGTTGACAACCGACACGCACACTCCCTCCCCCCATATTTCCCATGTATTTTCTCCAGAGTTTCCCCACAGTTTCCTCCTGACGTAGTTATAGAAATATACTTGGCTGCTGCATTCAAGCGTGGCGTAAATTATGCAAAATAACGACGTCAAAAGTTTCAATATAATGAAGCCAAACTGATGGGGAAACCAGGGGGAGAGGGGGAAATGTCTGCAGGATGGGAAAAATAATTTACTATAGTCTGAAATTTCATCCCTAATTCTAGGCCAAATGAGTATCTTAAGGGAACTCAAACTCGAAGGCGGAGAAAACTCATGTTAAGGAAATTTTCTTTAAATAAAATAATACAGAAGAAGGGGAAGTATTTGGTTACTTTATATTTAAATTTAGCTGTAAATATTAATACAATTTCATATTTTTCTAGCTAATAAATTTCTTGTTTTTCTTACATTTTAATTAATGAAAAAAAGTTTATGTATATATTCTTTATATAAAATAATTTTCCTCTAACTTTGATTGACTTTGTTTGAATATTTTTCAACTATTCTCCATTGAACTTAAGTATAGAAAAATCTTGAAATGTTATTAAATGGAAATCTCATCTTTTCCATTTTCTTTACCACCCTTAAAATCATTCAAAGACTTTTCTAACCTTCCCTTATCGCTTCACCGGACTGCCACTCAATCACTGCCCCCGAAACCCTTGAAGACATAAAAATCAAATCGAAGGCGTCGCCATAAACAATTATGAACTTTGTTGCACATTGTTGTCCACACATGGCCACACGGTTCCACGAGCCCGGCTTCTGTTCCTGCTTTTGCTCCCGTTCCTGGTCCTAGTCATGGTCCGGGTCCTTGTCGTCGCCATGGTTACATTGTAAAACGTTTTATTGTTGCCGCCAGCTGGCGACGATTTGTTGGCAGCGGCTCACCTCCATCAACCGCCCCCCAGCCAACCCCCAGAAACCAACCCAACCACCCACTGTAAGCAACAGTCAGAGATGAAAATATGTCCTTTTTGGTTTTACTTTTTAAAAACGGAATATTCAATATTAAAATAAAAAATTTAGTGGACAAATATTGCCTTTAAAATTCACAAGGATACTTTAATTTAAATAAATATTTAAATATATATATTATTTTTTTTTTTTAAATTTTGGCAATAGAATCTTTTCGGATTTGGCCTTTCGAGGGGTATTTCTATAAGATAAGAAGTTTCTTTCCTTTCCTGAAAACTACAAAACCAACCTTATAACCTTCGTTAATTTTTCCAGAAATTATAAATTTCAAAAAATCCTAACAAAGTATCAACTTACAGGTGATTGTAAGCATTTTTGTTAGGCTTTATAATTTTGTTGTTCGCTTTTATTTCGGTCATCACTGGAACCCTTGGAACCCAACCCAGAAAATGTTAGAACCTAAGGTGCGAGTCGGCGGCACGACGACAACTGTTATGCTTATCGGATGCTTTCTGAATAAGAATGCGGACGCGGATGTGGATGTGGAAGATGATGAGGATGAGGAGGCGGATGCGGACAACGGACAACGGACGGCGGATTGTAGAGTGCGAAGTGCGAAGGAGCTGCGGCAAATTGCTGCTGATTGTCAGGTTCAGGCGTCGTTGCGTAAATAACTGAAGGCGGACCGAGGTGCCAACTGCCTTTGAGCCGGGGTCGGAAAACTTTTGGCAAGCGCATTATATGGGGATGGCCAAACTTCGGACCGATTAACTTGTGAGTGGCCGGGGGTCCGGCGAGGTTCTGGGATGTCCTCGCAGGAATGGGAAATCTTATCGCCGCACAAGAACTCGTTTCGTTTTAGTGCCGCAATCAGCGCTGCTCACTTGCAATGGCCGTGGCAGGACAAATATTTTACTTTTACTCTTTCGCTTCCAGTTTTTTCTTCGTCCTTTCTGTTTTTTTTTTTTTCTTTTTTTGTTCAGTCCTCATTTTGCCGGCTCCTTTTCTGACTTTGGCTTTCCTACAAAGTTGAGCTCTCTAATGCGCTGCGAAAGTGTGCCAAAGACGCTGACAGCGAAATCAAACAGAGGGATATATATGTATATATATATGCGGAGCAGGCGGAGCGAAAGGACTAAGAGAAGGTCCGAGAAAAGGATGCACAAAGTTAAAATTAAATTAGCGTTTTTTCACAGGGCTTCACAGGGTAGTTGGGCAATGGCAGGTCCTTGGCCATTCCGGTCGAAAGAATCAAGTCCAAGGGCAAGAGGTTGGAATGCGGGGTAACAGAAAAGACAGGGTATCTCTGGGTCGAATCTGCCTTCATTCTGGCAACTGACTAACAAGGTATTCGCATTCTGATGGCGCTGGTCTGTCACTGGCTGCTACTTAGCCAAATTAAAATTGCAGAGCACTCTTTATATCCTGAAGGAGGTCCTGGTTAAAGGGGCTTCAAGTTGGGTAGGAAAATTCAGAGAATTTGAGGAAGATTTTCTGATAAGAACCTAGTCTTTGAATTTATTTATATACTTGGATTGATAATTCTTGAAAATAACACAATAACTAGACAAATTAAAGCGAAGATGCACTGATATTTTATTATTAAAGTAATATTATTAAAAAGAATTATTAAAAATAATTGTATGCCTCTTAAGAGCATTCCTTGTTCGATCGCCGGAAGCCACTAGTTTCCTCCTTCCTTCTCGTTTTTAGTGTCCTTTTAGCGTTTCGCATTTATGCTTGTTTAAGCAAACGCCGTGTTATCGCCGGGGATCCGGATCCGGATTCGTGTCCGTGTCCGAGTCTGAGTCCAGTCGAAAGGATAATGCGCGTAATTGTTGTCCGTGCGCTGAAGGAGGAGCACCGCCTCTGTAATTGCATGGAACGCATTAAAAGTCGCTGCCTCAGCGCCGTGGCAATTCAATTTAAGCGAGTGGCATAAGCACAATCTGGCAAACTAGGGATTATCGCTAATGCTGCACGTAACCAGGCATATCCTGGCACATCCTGCAGTGTGTTGCATGTGTACTATGTGTGTGTGTGTGTGTGTGCGTCCACTTTGGATGACTCCATCAGCGTTCAATCGCTCAATTGTTCGACCAACCTCGTGTGACTTTCGCTCTCTGCGGCGCACACTCGACACACATCCATATCCGCATATCCGCATCTGTCGGAAAGCAAACAGCAAAGCCGCTTCGAGTGGAGTCAGTTCGGGTCGAGAGCCCATTAACCGGGATCGATGGGTTGCCATATGGTCACGGTGGCTCCCAGTGTGCCAGGCTGAAGAGTCGTTGGAACTGGGATCACATGCAGCTGTGTGTTTGCCAGGATTGCGATTTACCCAACACTTGGAAGGGGTTTAGCTTGCAGTTGGATAATAATAGGAATAAGGAGGTGTAATATTAAACTACAGAAAATACTATACTATATTTTTATAAATATTAAAATATGAAAATGATACTGAACTAAGTTCTGCTCTTCTCCATTACCAATTTAATATTTTCCTTAGCTTATCTTGGCTTAAACCCTTTTACGTTGAGTGCATACTAGCGCTCTGGTTGCAACTTAAGCTTTTTCCATTAGAAAACCTCCTTTTGTTTGCTAAAAGTTAAAGCCAGGACCCGGGGAGTCGAGCTGGCTCCGCTTCACTTCACTTCACCCGAGCTTGGCTTGCGAAATTGGCATATAAGTGGCTGAGCGACTAACAGGGAATATCAAAAATATTGCCATAAAATATGCCAAGACAAGCGCCGCAGCCACATCAGCAGCATACCCCCAATCCGTAACCATTTCCAACCCGAACCACAAGCAGTGCAGATGCGGATGCGGATGCAGAGATAGCAGTACCACCACTAACGTCTTGACAGCCAGCGATTGACATGAGGGAAGCCGAGGTTGAGACGGAGACAAGGTAATGAAAAATATTTCCATATTGCAAATAAAGTCAGCTTGCCAACGTGGCAGCCCTAAAACCTATTTCTTAACCCCTGTCGACAGAGGGAAGGATAAGGATAAAGGATGGGGAGGAAGGGTATCTCCCTGTGTGTGTATGTGTGCCTCCACCTGGCTTTTGTTTTGGCAGCCTGGCATATTTCAATTTGGGACTCGAGACCGGGCCTCCGAAGTTTATGCAAATTCATTTCAAGTTGCCCGACCGACGCAACAGCAACAGCAACAGCATTATCAGGAGAACATCCGACCTGCGAACTACGACCTGCAGGCTCCTTACCCCCTTACGTCGAGTTTCAAGGATGCTGATGATGCCGATGATGGAGATGTTGCACTTGTACGCTTACGTACTGTATATCCTTGTTGACCTGCTGCCTGGCACTTTGCCAGGACGTGGTTGTTGTCCGCAAGTGTCGGCATTTGTATTATTACAATTATTACGTTGATGTGCACAGCATCATGTGGATGGGCGTGTGTGTGTGTGTGTGTTTGCCCGGCTGGCCTGTTTGCGGTTGGGAGTCAGTTTCTGTACTTGAGCCCTGGACTTCGGACTATGCGGCGTATA